CACCAGTGACAACAAGTCTTTGCTTTACAGCTTCAAGGGTTGGACCAATACCTGTGAAACAGTGAATGTCCCATGTGAATTTCAAAAACAATACCACCTTTCTGTTGGACAGGTGGTATTGCAGCACCAGCCTGTGCTCTTACACAGCTTGTGTTGTCACTGAGCATTGAGTGCACTGCACAACAAGTACAAGCGAAAGGATTTGCTAGACAAGGAGTACTGCAAAGGTGTATAGCATAGCAGAAGCAGAAAACCTACTTTCTCGCCTTTTTGTCATTGGAAATAACCATCACAAGAAGTCCCACTGTAATGGAACTCACTTCTGTTGGTTAAGCAAGTACTGCAGAACTTTGTTGAACTGTGAAAGCCTATGATTCAATGAAAGCTTCTCATGCTGTGCCAACATTTCTACTATTACTTTCCTTCTTAGTACCTTGCAATGTCTTTTCAGTTTCCTGTGCAAGATTCAAGAGTTCATTGCTCTCAGTTTTCAACCTTGCAGCTTTTCCTGATAGGTCTTCTCTCTTCACGGTCTGATAACAGAAGCATGGTACTCTCAGGTTGCTTGATATTCATATTAAAATTTAAGGAGCAAAAGAGATAGCCCAATCCTATTTAAAAAAACCCCCAACTATGCAAGGGCAGAGATCTCATGCGAAGAACACCACATTTAGCAACAATGATCAAGATTAATTTAAGCATAATACAACCTTAGTCTTTAGCAAATTTTAGATAGACTTTGGGGCATTAGGAAGAAATTACTAGCATAGAGCTGTTAGATGCAATGTCTCTGTTAAACAGCTTGTGGGCATTACTAGTGCAAAGTAAAAAAAAATACCTGAAATCACCTTCAGTGATTATCAGGTTTGTCTTATAAGATCTCTTTATTTTGCACTGAAAGCAACAGTCAGTATTCATATGGACAGTGTCAGCAGAAAGGCAGTAACTGGCCTTCTTAGGGCTGAGCCAAGACTAATTCATGAACATGAAGAATAGCAACTCATATAATGGTCATAGACAAATAAAGTATGCCAAGATACACGTCTTTGGTGCTCCTCTGATAGTTAAAGAAAAGAAAAATCTAGTTGTAGCAAGTTTACCATCATTTGGCCACTTACAGATACTTACCGTTAAAGCTGAGTCAGCTGCTTTTCCAGCTTTGTTGGCTGCTTCCTCTGCTGCCTTGATGGCATTAATAATATTGTCATAGGCAGTAGAAGCTTCCACAGCACAGCCTACCAACTCGTCCTTCCTGGCACTGTTCTTTATTCTGTGGGAAAGAGGGTGAAAAATGCAGCCTTCTGCAAAGGCTGTAGGCTTAGAGAAGCATTCCCAACAGATCTGAACTCAGTATTTTCTAAGTAACAATGCAGAAAATGTTTTTCAGTTAGATCTGTAACTTCATTCTGCAGAAGCATCAAACTTGGGGGCAGACCAATATGAAAAGATGTTTCAGAAGACAGCATAAGTTCAGGCATGTGGAAAAGCACAACTGTGGGCCTTCAAAGCAGCCTTTAAATGACTAAGATAGAGAGAATTCATCAAAGCACATGGCCCGTAAGGCAGCTCATCACAGCCCTCCAAATACAATTCAGTTAAGAGGAACTCAGAGAACTGCAGATTCCAGATCATCTCCGGCTGCTCTAGCATCCTAAAGCACAAGAAGCACAAGATAGACCACCTACAAGACCTTTTGTGTTTTCCCCAAGAAACAGCACAGCACCTCTGGAATCAGAAACAATACATGAAATCTCTTCTACCCACTCCCCATAAACTATGCAACTGTTCAGTATTAGTTCCCTTGTATTTGTGAGAACAGTGTCTTCTTAACTGAAAAAATCACACTGAAAACTAACAAAAAAATCATGAAATTAATGAAAATGTGGGTTTTTAACCAAGAGTTTTCCAGCTGAGTTAGGTATTTTCAAATTTAACTTTTTGAGACCTTCTAGTTGGTGCAATGACAAAATGAAAACAATTTGCTCAGGAAAAAATAAATCAGGATTTCACTTTTTAAAAATTTTGTTCTGATGTACCACAGAAAGCCTCCAAAACCTCTCATAATTCCAATATAAAGTACTAATAATGGAGAGAGAAGCACTTGATTCCTAGCGAATTTATCATATTTTTGCCTTTTCAGAGTATTCCTTGAGGGATGAAAAAACTATAGGAAGTCTTTTCCTCAGTAATGCTAAGGTGTGTCTGAAGACTGTCAAGATAGCATTTCTTCCAATTATTTGCCTCAATTCATTAATATCATAAAAGGATCCCTGAGCACAAGTACCAGAAATAACTCTAAAAAAAAAGATATGTTAAACATCTTCCCACTCTGTACTTGAGGACTTTCTCTTGTTAGTAAGATGTTAATGAAGCGTTAGTGCAGTAGTATAAAACAGTATTATGTGAGTTCCCACTTCTGGGGGGAAAAAAATCAGGAAAAATACAGGAAGATCTGTTTGTAGGGGAAAAAACACCAAACGTCTGTACATCATGAAGAAGCAAAAAAGGACCAACTTAATTTCTCTCTAACTTTGCAAATGGTCATTAAAGCGAGTGAAGTTACAGACAGACCATTACAACCATGGATATTCTGTATAAAAATTACTCATTCACAGGAATGGCAACATACTCTTCCAGTTGTTTTGCCAAGTCTTGCAAAGATTTGGCATGTTCCTCGGCCCTCACCACCAACGGCTCTTTGCTTGCTGATGAGAGATCTGTCAGCTTTTCATTCATATCCTTCCTTGCTCCATCCAGCCGAGCAGCCAGGCTTTCATATTCCTATGGATTTATAAAGATAAAATTTTATTTGTATTCATGCATGTTTGATTCAGTCCTCATCTACTTTAGTGTTACATATACCTTGCACTTGAGGAGACCAAGGGGAAAAACATTCCCTTCCAACTTACTCTGCAGGGTACTGAAAACAACTGCTAGTCATTAAATTATGCAGATCCATTACGTAAAAACTGAGTCAGAGCAAAGACCCTTGTAGCCCAGTATCCAGTCCCTGACAGTGGCTAAAAGCAATTGCCCAGAAAAAAATATCAAGAATAGTACAATTGCTTATGTTTTTTCCTCACAGATGTTCTCCCAAATTCTGGTATCTGCAGCTCAGTGTCTTCCTCAGACATACCACAACCCTGACAAGCTTCTCTTACAGAAAGCTGTGCAGGCAGGCTCCTTATGCATCCAGGATTGGCCATGAGATTCTTTCTTTCTTGTGAGGCTCAGACAAGCCTTGTCTCCCAGCTATGCCACCCAATACTGTGACAAGAAGATACTGGGTTTTTTTAACCCTATCTTAAGAATGTTAACTATACCTCTTTGCTCTTTTGCAGTAATCCAAGTACACTGTTAGCATGCGTAAGGGAAGTTCGGGCAGAGTTCAGGATATCCAAGACACTATTCTGTTGTACATTTGTCTCCTCAATCCGTTTCTGAGGAAAAATATAAAGTTGAACAACATGTGATTGGGCTAAAAATAAGGGGCAGGAAAAACCATATCTATTAATGTAACTTTCAGTAGGATTTACCAAAGGTACTGTTGATGTGTAAATGAGATGCCTCCAATGTTAGGGAATAATGCTACCCCACTGATTACCACAGAAAACTCAGGAGTCTGGCGGTACAGCACACAGCTGGGCAGCAGTCTATGGTAGCTTAGTTACTAGCAGTCAAAGTTAAAGGAGTATAGGTCAGCTGAGATGAATTGTCAGGACAGACCAGCTGAGGGTCTGATCTCTCAAACCTGCAAACTTCAAACCTGGAAACTTTAAAAACAGCTCCCTGATGATTCCCCCGATCTTTTCTGTTCTTTGAAAGGAAGAAATAAAATTATTAAACTATCCCTTCATCTGGGGCTCTTACAAGAAAGGGGATATGAAACCTCCCCAACCTCCTGAAAGCTCCTGAAACCAGTGATATATTTCAGCAAAATGACAATTAAAAGAATGACTCCTGCAGCACACACCTGTTTCTTGCATTGTTTTATCAGTTCTAAAAATCAAACACTGCTCAGGAATGACAGATGTTTCTTGTCATATTTCTGATGAGACCTCAGAAGCAGTTCTGTAGAATATTAATCCCAAATAATTTAACAGTATGGCACACATTTGTGCTCCACCTATCATGGCTGTTAATGCCAAATACTTTCAAGAACTTACTATGAAAAGTGCATCTGCATCAGGAATTTGATCTAGAATAGAGAACAAAAATACTAGTGGCAGCTGAAGGGAAGTGCTAGGAAGAGACTCTTCCTCCCTGCTCTCACCAGACTTGTGCCTTGGTCGCACTGCTCTGGTCACACAAAGAGGCCACAAGTGGGAGTAGACTACATTTATACCTGTGCACACATACAGCAAAAGATGGGAAGAGTCCTTGGAGAAAGTCTAAAGAATTAGTGCTGCTTGGCTTTGCAAGGTAAAAAGGGACCAATCAAAAGCACTTCTTATCTCCTGAGGTTTCACTTTCTTCTCCAGAACTCTGATATTACCTTAATGTCTTCGAACAGAACTCCATTATCTCTGTTTAAGTTTTCAGCCTGCTTGATTTGTCCTGTTGCATCATTCAGAGCTTCGCGAAGGTCAGTGATTTTTGATTCATATTCATTCAATGAATCCCTCACAACTTTAATAAGCCCATGATTTTCTTGGTGGTACTTTTGTAGTTCATTCCTGATACGTGTCAGTACTGCAGTACAGAAAAGTTTTGCTCAGAGAAGAAGAGAAACAGAACAAACTTCCTTTGTAAGGGCTTGACCTTTAGGATTAGAAAGCTGTGCTTGCAGGGCTAATTTCAGTGTTACTATAGCAGAAGCACTACTCAGCATCTCACCATATCAAATCTGCTCACTAGTTTGCTGCTGCAGACACAGAGCACAGATAAACATTTTCTAAATTACATAAGGCTGGTCTGCAAATACCAAATAATTTACTTTTCTATACAGAACTAACATAATTTCATCAACAATTTCATCTACAATGTAGATATCTACATCTGCACTAGTCACCAAAGCCTCTGAAATCAATGGAGTTATATGGGCACGTTTAATCTCGGAGAATATAGGAACAAAAAAAGAGGTCAAATCAATCATGTCCCTAAGACTGGCACACTGTGGCATTTCACTGCCTACAAAATACGATACACAAGAGTCCCTCAGAGGTAGATACTGAAGTTCAAAGTTGGGGGAAATTAACTATCACTCATACTGTGCCCCTGGTTAGGAGATACGCCTGTGATTTTACAGTTCTTGCTGTCTCTCATGTCTGGAATCAAGTTTCTAAATGTGCCAGTCAAACACATGCAGAGAACACAAAACTAAATCATTTCAACTAAATCAGTTCAACTAGAACTTCTGAATTTCCTTCTCCTTCTATGATTTGCCCTTGGACCACTCTAGCAACTTCTGAAAATCTGTTGTTAAATTAAACCTGTAATTCTTTCTAAATAGCTGTACTGTATGTAACATAGCCTATATATTACAATACACAGAAGCACTGCATAGGATTAGGATTGGCTAAACCTTTTTTTAATGAGATTGATCTAGTTACGAAAGAAGGATCTCCTGGGTTTCTTCCCCAGCTCAACTCAGTTTCTTCCATTAAAAAAAAAACCTATAAATGGCTTTAAATCCCCTCCAGAACTACCGTTTTCCTGTTGACTAACAACCACTACAAGGCCCAGGCATACACTGCAAAAGGCCCCTCACTGCACTCCATCCCAAACAATCAATAATGCTTCAGAGTTAAGACTGATCTTTCTAGAGAGTAAGAATCTGAGAGAACAAGCCCTTACACCGCTGAGCTTCTGTTCGCTCCTTCTCTGCCTCAGCTTGAAATTGGCCAAAGTTGCGGTTTCGCATCTCCGTCATCATGCGTTGAGCTTCAGCCAGTTCTTCAGAGGCATCTCCCAAGGGCAAGTTGTTACCTTCTGTGTTCGTACCAGCTATTTGTTCCAAGAGCACTGAAAAAAAGTATTGTCAAAGAGAGGATGTGCTTAAGCCTATTCAAGAGATACAAATGACACGCCCTAGCGCTTTTCTGAAACAGACTTGCTTATTCTTGAATTCTTTAATGAAGCAAATTCATTTTGCATTAATTCTGTTAAGATGAAAAGTATCCCATATCACATGACAAGAACAAGTAAAATAGATTGGGGCTTGAAATTTATCCCAAATTATCAAGTTCACAGCAATAATTTTAAGCTTCTAACTTTAAACAGTCTATGATAGCAACCCAGAATAGAGTTACACTTAAGCCAGGATAGTCAATTTGTTGCTCTGAATGCTCCTGTGATGAAGCTTCTCTGTCCCAATTCACTCCATAGGGAAAGTAGGCACCTAAACTAACACTATATATTAGATTTCTGATTGGAAGAGTGAATTCCACAGCTGTGACTAAATTCTGATTTATGAAGCTGTTTTCTAAGAAAATTTCTCATGCTTAGTTAAAAGTATTGTAAACAAACGGAAAAGATTCCATAAGACAAAACATGTTATGGAGTAAGAAACTATTTTTACCTTGTATATTGTTGACAACTATTTGTATTCGTGAAACCAAATCTTTTCCTTTCTGATGAGTTTGGCCAAAATTATTAAATAATGTCTCCGCTGTTTTGTAGTTCCTTTCAGCCTAGCAAAGAAAAAAAAATATTGGATTACAAATATCTGGATACAGCAGCCTACTATATAGTCAGGAGATGCATATTTTTAAATTGATTTGGTAAGTCACCTTTTCCTGGAGAGCATTTATATCATGATTTAGTTTAGTGAATTCTGTCTCCAACTCATCTACCTTTGAACCTTGATTATGAACAACAGAATGGTAATTGTTCATTAAGACCTGAAAAGAAAGGGAAAAAAAAATCCAATAAATCACCCATATAGAGGAGACAAAAAGCAAAAAAATTCACTGGGTTAGATCTTTACCCAAGGAAAGTAAATGCAGCATTACTGAGATGAAAACTGACCAATTGCTTCCCAAAACCTGGGCTTTTTTATATGTGAGTATAGCAACTGCTATTCCAAGCAAAGAACATTTTTTTTAGAATGAAGTTTGGTATTGGCAACTGGAATGTTGGGGGGTTTCTGTAATGCAGAGACAGGAAGTGCTTGAAAAAGACAGATCTAGAGGGAAAGCTCAGAGATATAACTTTTAAGGGGAGCAGACCTCAGAAAACGCAGATACTGATTCTGTTTCAGAGCATGACATGGAAAAAACAGCTTTGTATCTTTAACAGCTGAGGCCTAGTGCTGGCAGCATTCTAATATTTGAAATCCAATGTTGATGTACATTTGCTTGCAAACTAACAAAATTATGGCATAAGTTCCTAGGTTCATTTCTTATCTGCTTCATCTGAAATCCATTCTTCTGTTTCTGTATGCCTACCTTTAAGTCCTTGATGCGTGTTTCCAGACGTCTCATCTGCTCCAGCGTGTGGGTACTTGCATGGACATTCTGCAGCTGAGACTTAATGAGCTGAAGCTCGTCACCTATTGTGCTCAAATCGTTCAGCAGTGTAATCACACAGCTATCGCAAGCTGGAGGGAGCATGAGTAAAGGAAAACAATGCACACCATTGATATTTGATGCAGGGAACATTTCACTGAGCACATCAATAAATAAGATGCAATAGAAAAGCTTTGATGCTTGTCATCTGGTGCTGCCTGAAGTACAAAGGCAACAACAAAGCCTGCAGTATTCAGGAAAGTGACCAAAGCCAGAAATAAGGAGGAGGCCTCATTTACATGTAGCTAGCCGACCGCCTCTTTAATCATTTTTCTAAGTATTTGGTTGAATGCTTTTCATACATTCATTACAGAATACCTCCAGCCTTTTTCAAACTCTGCCACCTATAAAAGAGTCATCAGTATGTAATCAAAGCTAGCAGAAAGCAATTCAAGTGCAGCTCTTTTTTATTACTTACGGTCACAGTCTTCATTGGGATCCACATCTTTTGGTTCATTGTTGAAACACTCTGAAACCACAAGATTTCAAGGATGAGGCCTTGCTCAAATCAACATCTTTTCCATCCCTCAAAGGAAACTGACTGTAATCCCCCAATATATGCTACCTGGGTAGCTGCAGGAGTCTCTCTCACATGAAGTGTACCAAATATATTGCTAGAATTTGCTTAGAATAACACCACCAGGCTTGGAGCCAAGACTACATTGTTAAAGCATTTTACCCAGGACATAGGTTCAAACCCCTTTATCTATTCTAGTATCCATGTTCAAACCACAGATTTTGATTCCTCAAATAATGTCTTACCCACAATGAAGTGTTTATGGCCTTCCTTCATACCTGTCACAGCTTGCAAGATTAAGGTATTGATCAAGCTTGAGAGAAATCCACAGCGTATGCTTGAAAGAAGGCACTGTATGCAAACCAAGCCATGGAGCTGGGCCACAGCTACAAGTGGTATACAACAAACATTGCCCTCAGACTTTCCGACATGCTAACGCAAGTTACTGCCTGTCCACTCTGTTCTTTTGTTTTACAAACCCCTGTTATAAGAAGCTTAACACCCATTAGGTACACATGGAGTTGTAGCATCCTAGGATCCTAACTTCTAGGAGGCAGGAGAGGAACTGGCTCCTAAAAATGTCATCATACAGATGACAGGAATCTTCTCTGTCTTGATGCCCAAGTCTTTTTTACAGGCTTGGGCCTACTGCCAAACTCTCATCTCTTGAAAACAAAAAGGGCTGTGCATGTTGGTCAAAGGCTGGACTTGATGATCCTGGAGGTCTTTTTCTAACCTTAATGATTCTGGTATTTTCCCTGAAGAAATAGGATGCAGTTGGTGTAGGCTGCTGCTGTCAAGAGTCAACAATTGCAACTATGAGAGGTTACAGTGATAAAATTGGACCTGAACTTTAACAGCAGCATGAAATAGCCTGGAATAAACTGCCTAGCTGTACCATTTCCCTTGGCACTTGCACATTAAGTCATCGTGAAGTTAAATGTCATTGGTAGTAATCGCTGCTGCCAAAAGGAGACAAGTCACAAAGAATATATTTGTAAGAGAACGAAGGAAGTTATTCCAAAATTCAAATACCCATGCAGTTCTGATGTGGTGTAATTCAGCTAACACCAGACTCCTTTCAGCTGTTACTGTGAAGTACCAATTAAATAAAACTATTATTACAGCTTATGCGCAAACAACATCAGCCAAGAAATGGTGATGTGCTAGCCAAGAGCCGAGTATCACACAAATGAAACCTGCTGGAACATGCTGTGCTGATGATCACAGTGGGTTTTATTCCTAATGCAAAGAAAGTCACGGCAGATCGCAATGTATAGTTGGAGGGAAACAAACTGGCTTGTTGAATTTTGTCCTACAGATCAGTTTGTCCTAGCAAACTCTTGCTTCAAAAAGAAAGGAATGATAAAACACTGAACACTGGTCCATACAAGGTATAAATATAATAGAGATGCATTACTGCAATGATGAAATATGAAATGAGAACTAGATATTGAAAAATTGCACCATCTGCAAACAGCAGTTCACATCATGTGATGCTCTTCTAATTTCTGTGGTCAAGGAAAGATAAGGTGATCCTTGCAGTTACTAGACTGCAGTATGAACAGCAGTGCAGAGAAATGAAGGGCATGGAAATAGCAGGAGTTATTAGTTGGACACTTCACTAACATATGAGGAGGAATATCTATCTGCAGGGAAAGAAAAGTGAAATTTTATTGAAGAATGATAATACGGGAGAACCAAGGTCATTTAAGGAGAAGTGGCCTATGTGTTTCTGAATAGAAAGGAGTATTCCAAGGAACTGAGGTGAACTGAGGTAAAGACAGTCTGAGGAATTTAGGATCAGGCTCTTTACTTCAGAATTATAATAGAAAAAGCAAACATACCCATGGCATTATATAAGAGCTTACTAGTAGTGAAGTACACGTGTGACTGATTCTGGGAAAATCATGGGTTCTAACTTCCACTGTAAATGCAGTTAGCTTGGATACCTAGGAAGGCAGTGCCTGCAGTCCCTGAAGATGTCACTACTCCGTGCCAAAAACATTTTAAAAATGCATATTGAGAATGCTCAGTTTCACAAATCTGTAACACAGACTGGCATGATATGATTTAACCACGTCAGCAGAGGAACCAAACAAAACTGAAATAAAATTGCGAGTATTTATGAAGGGAAATACAGAATAAAATGGCTTACAAGGGTAAACTCTCTGACCCAGGAGAGTCCTTCAATTACCATGGTGCTATGTTCTAGGAAATCTTACATTTTGTAAAAAATTATCTACACTTCTTCCAAGTCTAGATCTTTGCTTCAGTTCATCTTAGATAAGTATACTTTCCTTGATTCCCAGAGAAAAAAAAATGCTCCCTCCCATGTTCACAGGCCCTCACATACCTCCAGTCAGGTGGTCACAACTAGCCAGCTGTCCATTATTATTGCAGTTACATTTCTGACAGTAGCCTCCATAATTTTGTGGATTTCCGAAATATCCTGGAGCACAGCTAGATAAAGAGATACAAGTAATTTTTATTAAATATTTGAAGCTACTTTTGTGAAATATGCTTTCCCTTGACAAAAAGTTATTCTCCTGAAGAAACCAAGAACTTTTGATTTCATGTCTTGAATGAGACAAAAAAAGTATATTTTTGGTTCACAGAATCCTCTGCACTATGCTAAAAAAATCTTTGCAAGTGCTGCAGAATTATTTTTTTTACAAATAAAAGAACTCCCACAATGTCCCTATAGGAATAATTCACTTAATCTGAAAAAACACAATGCACACAGATACATACATACATAGAGAATTTGACAAGGTTTAACCCAGCAAACCATATCATTCTGGCCTGTGACTCCATCAGAAAACATGTATTAAGGAGGATCATATCGCATGCAGAGCTGAGATTTCAAACAGCAATGGCACTGAATGACATCATCACCCTTCTGCAGGGTGATACCTCCTCTCGTCCCCCTGCCAGCAAAGCAGTCTGTGAGTGATCTCTCAATGTTTTACATGGAAAATATATTGTCCAGACTGGCTAGCTAATATTGCCAGAAGTCACTCTGCTGGGGTGGTAATGCAGGATCAAAGGGCCATGATGAGCAGCTGAGGCACAGGTATATAAAGAAAAGACAATCTCTACAACCTTCAGATTAAATGTCAAAGGTAACTGTCTTGAAGCACAAGACAATGTGCTACTGGAGGTCCTGTTTTCAGATGAAACATCATGACTTACTGGCCTCAAGTTTCCAAACCAGACACCACCAGTCCATTACTCTTAAGCCCTCCCTGGATTTGAAACTCCATGAAGTTGGTTCCTCTGACTGCCTGAAACTGCCATGGTCTTTTGCTTTGTCAAACTGCTGCAATGCTCTCGCAAAAGAGATGACTGGTTTGTCTATGCTCCAACTGTGCAGCACATCAGAATGATTTTGGATGAAGGGTATGGTGCTACACATTATGTGGTTGCTGTTGGATAACAGATCACTGAAGCACCATCATGTACATTGGAGGAAACAGCAAAATGTTTTTAACTTGAAAATGGGTGAAATAATTGGGAGTCATTATTACTGGAGTGCAGGATAAGGCAAGCCATAGGGCACTTAGGCAAAGAGGCTGACACTTCTCCTTTTGGTAAAAATTGTGTAGTCACTAGATTGCTTGTGGAGAATTGTTTACATTTCTTCACAGACTGTCTGGTTTATGACTGGACTTACACAACAACACCACTCTTCAGCAGCTGTTCATATAAAGAGCTATTCCTTAAGCATGTGGATACTATCTGTATGTGCATGTCCATGTATGTTACCCAAGACACCCATACCTCCTTTTATGATGTCTTTCAAAAAACCTTGGTTTTGAGAAACAAGTCACTTACCGTTCACAACGAACTCCGGTATAGCCTTCTTTGCAGAGACACTGAATTTCTTCACCATTTGCCACACAGCCAGTTGCAAATCTTTGAGAAGAAGCAAAAATATTATTGTGAACACATCATCAAATAGGTTTTGCACTCTATAGGCTCAGTTTAATGACTTTCAGATAAAAAATTTTTATACCGCCAAATTACTTCTCAGCTAATTGACTCTAGGTAATTTACTGTGACTAATTCTTTGAAGTTTCATAATTTTTTGTGTAAATTATTTCCTTACACTAAAAAAATAATCATTTCCTGACCCTGTGGGCTGTGTATAATAGTTCACTACCCAAAGGAATGCCTAAAATAAACTTTAATAGTGATGTCAAATAAAACAAGTCTGGGTAGCTATTTTATCTTACTAGGCAAGAATCAATAGCCTGTGCTAGACAACATTTCCTCCTGTTTGTATAGCTTTTCTTTTCTTTTTTTTTCATGGATGAAAACATCAGAGGATATTTTTATGTAGCTAATATTGTTTAGGGTATTTTTAACCAATGTCAAGTAGAGTTGTGCACCATTTTGGGGATCTCTAGGGTATATCTGGTTATCACAATGAACATTTTTCTCTGCTCTTTCTAGCAGACTTTTCTAGATTCAAATTTAACTGGGAAAGAAACCATTTTTTTGGCCAATGTTTGGGAAGGAGAAGACAGGACGCAAAGCAGGGACAAACCATGTTTTCTATTTTCATTTTTTAATCTCTGAGCAGTTGGATAAAGCAAATCTGTGTATCAAAGACAGATGTCAACATTAAGAATTACATATAATTTGATTAGATGGAAAACTGTCAACTCCAATAATGCCAAGTGGGGTGCATTTCCTATGTCAGGAATGGTATTCACCACCCAAACGCATAGCTATGAAACTGCACAGGTTTATGGTCTCCCCAGGAATTTCAGCACTCCTAAAGCAAATGATGACTAAACCCATGTTTGGTCAGCCTCAGGCAAGCACCTGCAGAAGAGGCCAATGCTGTCAAAACCAAATCTATCAGAGAGTTTTCTGATAAATTAAAAACCCATCTATTGTCTGATAGTGTAAATCTCTTAGTTAAGGTTACTTGGTGTTTGCTACTGCAACTGGCAAATACTGTCTGGTCCCTTTAGCAATTTATAGTTTAGAGATTTTAAAAAAGATTTGGTTTTATTTAACACATTTCAGAACTGACCAAGGATGACAATGTGGCTTAAATGTACCATGCATTTAAAATGCAATTTATTGCCCAATTTTAAAAGCCTGGAAGTCTTATTAGATCCAAGGAAGTTTCATTTTTGCAGCTCAGTATGTTTGCACTTCAAACAGAGCTTCCACGTGAAGAGCAACCATGCTCTTTCAGAAATCTAGGTACATACTTAAGAGCTTGAAAGTTTCTATATTATCTTTGCATTTTATGATTTTTCTGAATTCTTGTTTCACTGTTGGCCCTTATCTCCTAGAGAGAGTAATGGTGTTAAACATCTTGCGTTTCAGTAAACAAGAAAGATTCTGGATATGCCCAGTAAGGGAAAAGGTTTCCATCAAATATTTCTCACTATGAAGGAGTTACTGGTGGGTTTGTACATAGGTCCACTATAACTGCCTGGGGGACTCCTCAAGGCTATGTCTATCTGAAGTTCAGGATCTAAATGAGAATTAGAACACTCAACTTATTAAAAAAGGCAGTGCTATGAGACAGACCACCAAGTTACTGCTGGTGTAATGTGTCTCAAATGGGCCTGATGCTCTACTACCCTGGACAATACAAGAACAGAGAAGATCACTATCTGTCTATGGCAGCAGAGTCTGGACTTTGAGGGTTTTTTCCCCTCTTTTTTTTCCTTCTTTTTCCTCTCCCCTCTTGACTTCTTAGAAGCTTTTACTGTACCTGTTTGTATAAGGGCAAGGGCACATCCGGCAGGAACCCTGAGTTGCGTCTCCAAAATAACCATCTTTACAGCGCTCACATTTCTCCCCTGCAGTATTATATTGACAGTTCTTGAAAAGGAAATAAGCAAGACAGTTAGCAGTGCTTTACCACTCAGTATGATTTTACTATTATTTAAAAAATATATAGCTAATCTACTCAGAGGATATGTTCTTTCCCTCCCATATAATCAAGAATTTATTGCCAAACTGCCTTCACAACCAGCACAGAATGGTTTAAGTCAATTCTCTTAACTGTAGAAGGCACAATTTCCTCCCTGTTGTGGAAAAGCAATAGACAAATAAGCTGAAGTAAACATATTTTTAAAGAAACTCAATTGAATACATAGTTAGTTAAGGAACATTCCATTAATGCACCCTCTATGTCTTGATATTCCAATTAAAAATCACTATGTTCAAATGAAACAAATTATTTTGCATCTTTACACTAATTAGAGGGCAGATATAACTTCAAAGCATGCAATTAATTGAGCCCAAGTACATTCTTTGAAGAATCCCATTAAATGAATACAAAAAAATCTTTCTCTTAGTAGATTTAGATCAGAATTGAGTTTCATCTAGTTTCTCCAATGTATGTGTTACTTGTATTTATCTGGGGTAACAGGAATAAATAATGAAAGGCAAAGGTTAGGAACACAATTGAAACTGATGCAACTGAGCCAGTTTTTCCATGATAAAATTTTGGGGAATTATATCTTGCTTTAGAAACATTCTTAATCCTGCAGCTGTTGCAGTGTCACATGTTTATACTTTACAGAATGAGCAAGTTGCTTTTGCATTACCTAAAGCAATGATCATTTAAAATAGAAGTTGTTCAAATACATAAGCAGCATAAAAATACATAGGCAGCCACAAAAATTCAAAATGATCAACACTCAAGAGGCATTCACAGCCCCAAGTACTACAGCTGTTTGACTTCAGTGTGCAGCAGACTGATCCCATGTCCCACAGAGCTGAGGTGTACTAATAAAGTGAAAGATGGAAAAAAGAAAGTGGGAGTTTGGCTGGAAACAGTCACTGAACAACTCAAGCTTCCACTTCAGGGACCTTGATGGCTCAGGGCTATGTTTGAAGACCCTACTACCATGACTGGCAGTAGAGGGGCATTTTTCCCAACAAATGACAAATAGTTCTGTCTCTCCCATCTTCTCTTATACTCCATTCTCCTCCACATTTCTTCATAGCCATATTCCCTCAACCACATCAACAACCTTTCCCTCATCCTCTGCAGGTAGTAACCCATAATTTGTTTTCATCTTGGTTAAAGAACTAAATTTGTGGCTCACTTATGAAAGGTTCTGAGGAAGAACAGGAAAAGCTCCAGTTCACATATGGGATATTTAACACGAAATTAAACACCAAGCAACAGGAAGACACTGTTTGTAAAAGGAATCATTTTAAAATGTGGCCTTTGTTAAAGCTGGTGCAGATATTCCTGCAATAACTTCATGGACATTTCAGACTGTCTCTGAATAATTACTGTCAATTTTTACAGTCCTGAAGAATAAATTAAACTGCAAAAAGAGAAAAGAGGTGTATTTAAAAATACATGTGTTGGTTTTGTCTTGGAGCAACCTCCACACCTTGCATCCTCCCCTTCCCAAGTGTATGTGCTGTCTTTTTGTTTTGCTCACTTTGTCTATAGAAACTGAAGCAACTCCACACTTGCAAAGAACATTTAAGCTACTTCACATATAAGCCACTCAAAATGTGCCATGCTGCTCCTTGAGCTACATGGCACATAAGGGCTGGGGGTCCCAAGGCACAGTGGAATGAAGCCAGAGCAGTAACTCCCTCATGGGTCTTCCTTCGAGTTTCACAGAGCCAGAGACACCTCTGGAGCCACAGTATCTCCAAACCATCAAGTGTGGCAAACCCTGAAAGGAAAACTCCCAGCTGACTCCATATACACCAATATGGTACAAAGAAGGCAGAGTAGAGTGTGTCTGTGTCACAACAGAAACACTGAGGTTACGTGAAACACATGGAGTTCCGTGACATGAAGCAACATGTCATGGGATGAGAAGTCTCAGCACTATGCTGCTGCTGAGGGATTGTGCCTTCCAGGAGGAAGGGCAGGGACCATGAGGACACAAAGTCTGATTAATGGCAGAGAGACAGTTCTTCCTTAAAAGAGAACCAGTTCTTTGGTCTTCTCCACCTCCTCCTGCCCCGTGTTCTCCTCCACTTTCAGCAGCACACTCCTCTCCTTCCACCAGCATGCTGCAGCAGGATAGCGATTGCCTGAGCAATTGCACTGCTGCCACAGGGGAAGGAGTTCAGCCTGGGCTTAGCTTCCCTCACAAAGCCTTCTCTAGGGCTCTCACTGGAGAAGACACTGACATACAGAGGCCAAGTGAACAAGCTTTGCACTTTGGATGTGGAACTTGCCGACTCCACAGTGGGAAACCTCCTTGTCTTCTCTGCACCACGTCAGGTCTTTGTCCTATGGCTCCTCTACAGAGAGACAAACTTGCTCTTGGTTAGGCAGAGGCTCATGATAGAAATACAGGCCCTCAGGGCTTTCATTTTTCACCGCATTATTCTGGATGACTTTGCTTGCCCTAAACCTTGTTCCAGGGCCAAGGGTTGCTTTAGCTCTATCAATCTCAAAGTTAATCCAGCTGTGAGAAGGAGGGGATAAAGAGAAACCTAAATCACATACTTCATGAGGTGAAAGTAAAATTTGCCTTTATAATTCTAATCTGAAGTGAAACTTCCTCATCTTTCTAGCTCTGCTGCGGCACTTTCCTGTCACAGCCTGCCCTGCCCCTCCAGAGCCACAGCCTGTAAGTCATCCCCCAGAATGTGCTGAATTGGTTTATAGTTTCCATTAAAGGAACAGGCTTGGTTGAGACAAAGTCAGGGGGAATGACATAATGCACAGGAATGCACCGCAGGCAGAATGGATGCAGCACGAACAAGGAAGAAAAAGCTGAAAAGACAGACCATGAAAGATGTTGGCAAAGTTCTTGTTTACACAGTAAATGAGAAATTAGTGAAAACTTTTAAGTGGGAATTTTTCAGAACAAACTGTTCAAAGAAGTGTCACGGATATAAACCGGAGAAGCACAGTCGGCCAAATGTCACACACCCATTGGTATGAGGACTGATCCACCCCCATGAAGCTGCTTTGGGTCTCATACAGGGTGTCAGGGAGCAAAATATGCCCCACTACATCTTCTATAACAGCTTAAATGTTCTAATTAATAAAATTTGTATCCCTTTTACCTCATCTTATTTAGTTCAATATTTTTCAACCCATCAAGCTGTAGATTAGGGTTAGTGGACATACACTGAAGCTGATTAAACATGAGATTCTGCAAAGGCTATGCTGTGCATGAATGTGCTGTTTGTCAGCATTGGCAAACCCTAGTATATTTGTATAAAAGTAAGGACTGCATATGCCAGGATAAGACCCATGTTTATTATAACTACAAATGTTTCATATGTACTAATTTGGTGACTTTTTGTACCAGGAGCTAAGAAAAATTATAGAAGAAAGAAAATAATGAAGACAAGGACACAAATGAATCACCCACAGGTACGTTAAATGTACATGCAAATGTATGCAACTTATATGCACTCATTAACAGTACAAAATTTAGAGAAGAGGCATACAGAGATTATTTTTAGTTGCTTGGAATTTGACAATACAGTATTGTCAAATTCTGCATACTGCACTAAGAGAAATGTTTCTTCCCATTAATTTCTTCAGTGTTACTTACGATACACTTTCCAGTACCATCTTGACACCTATTTGCATTTCCATTGCAGTTGCAGGGCACACAGCGTCCAGCAAAAAATCCTTTAGTCTCGCGATAAAATCCTAGGCCACATTCCTAGACAGTAAGCAGAGAGAAAAACTAGTGAGTGTTGGTGGAAAGAAAGTTCTACATGTTATGGGAAGTGTATTTTGAAATTGTTTGCCATTTCCAAGGAGTAGTGGAGGTATATATTTCCCTGCAAGCTCTTCTAAGCCCATACTGTTGTTTAAAGTATTTTAATGCAGGAAATAGCAATGAATGGAGATGAAGACGTTTCACCTGAACCCCATGCTCTACACATTTGGTAGTGATGATTTAATCATTTTGACTCTAACCTCTGAGAAAAACACATTTCCCGTGGCTATGAACAAAGGTGTAGAATATGATTTTTAATCCACAGGAAAATATTTGAACACAAGAACACTGTATTGTTAATCTAAAGAAGAGCACACGGAAATCTCACATACTAACAAGTGTTTATACGAGATCTTGACATTAATTTCACTGTGGTGTGTTCCTTGGAAATAATTCCAAAGATATCTTTTACATACATTCATCATGACTTCCATAGTAAGCCTACCAAGAGCTCCACAAAGCCATGCTCAGACATAGCTAGGTGATATAACAAAACATACAGCAGTCTAATTTCTAAGTACAGGCTTGCCCTGGAGACTGGGGAAGCATGAGAAGAATGTTCAGCTGTTGAGGGCACAGGAGCACAAGCACAGCCTGTCAGATCACAGTTGCATTTAAACATGGAGCTGAACCAAAGAGACATTACAAACGAAGCAAGAGACATCAAGTTTATTAGTCTACACCAGGAAGGTAGTAACTAATATGTTAAAACCAAGTTTTTGCCTGGCACAGGCAGGGAGAGCACAAGGAATTCATCTTGGGCATGGAGCCTTCCTGACCAATTCAAAAACTCACATCCACCTTCTCTGCTCAGCATACCTGGCACACCAACCACACCAAAAGTGACTGGACATAAGTGTAACCCTTCTATTGCTTCGCTCCTTTTCACTAAGCAGGTGTGGTGCAAGGAAAACCAGAGGCTGTATGGAAGCAGGGAGAAAGCTATGCTCTCCACAAAGCTAACATCTCCCAGGCTCCAGCCCCTGGCAATGCGCTTCTGCTCTGTACCTATACCTTGCCTCCAGCTCACAGTTAGGGGCTGTCTCTAACAACATGAAGAAAACAAGTGACAGTAGAACTTTAAAGCCATAAATCTTTTCTCACAGTAATTGCACCACCAAGACTGATGGGACTAATCTGGAGAGCAAAGGGTTTGTGGGATGGTGTCACAAATCATTTTCCAGTGGTTTGAAGTCTAAGTATTTATGCAGAGGTGTCAATATTTATGCAGAGGCAGGATTAACCAATGAATTTATCCATGGTAGAACTACCAGATGGGAAAAAAAATCCATTCCTCTCTCACAAAGCAGATCCTGAAAGGAATACAGAGTTACTGCTGTCTAAATAACAGTTGCTAGTGACACCTTTGCCTGCTCTACATGTAGGATAAATGGGAAAAAAAAGGTATGCATAATACTAATACCATCAACAGCTTTAAATACTGGCTTCAGTGTGAGCAAGGACTGAATTCAGAACAGACACTTGAAATTTTCCAGATACATTTTTTAAAGTTTGAGTATGGCCCCTGAACAACAGACAGCTGATCCATACAGCTTCTGAAGAAACCAGGGCCTGACATACATTAAACAGCATGACTAAGTAAAATATAGGCTCTAATGCACATACATTTTATGTACTGAAAGTCTCTTTTGGGAGAGCAAAATGAATCACACATTTTGAAAATACATCCAAGTCATTTGGAAAAAAATATCTGTGCAGCTTTTTGTTTTTCTATTTATGGTGTCTAAAACAACACATTTGGAGTACGTGGGCACTTTGTTTTTGAAGCAGCATTTGTGATTCCACACAAATGATCAACTGATTTCATATGAAGATAAAGCTCTAGGCACTTTCGAGTGCTCAGGAGTTCAGGCTGATTGTTTTCAAGCAAACAGCAATTTAAAGGAAACCCCTTGCCCTCACTTTTGTTAGCAAAGTACTTTGAGACTTAATGAGCCTTCTTATTACTTTTATATTAAGTAATGCATATTGTTACCAAATTAGTTCATTGAAAAACAAAGCAGAAGGAGGAAGGAAGCAAAGAAGGGCAAATGAGCAAATTACCTGTCTCGGGTAAAAATCAGTTTGTGGTTGTTGCCGCCGACTCCTCTCCTGAAGGTGGGGATAGGATAGCCTCTCTTGCATATCTTGTGCTAAACAACGCCCCAGGGACACTAGCGTGACAACCAGCCATCCTACACTTCTTGGCCTCTGTGCCTGGGCCATTGTTCTACTTTGGCTCCACCGTGATCATACGCTGCTATCCTTTTGGTGCTCACACGTTCGTTCTCTTATACTCCCCCTTCTCCAGCTTCTGACTCAGATTAATGAGGTTCTGTGCTGTGATGGGCCCCACCTTTAAACTTTATACGTGAGTCAAGTCGTACAGCACACATTACTGTTCCTGAGGTTAACAAGTAACCCTGCAGTTCCTGTAGCTCAATATATACCTAAGTCAGGGTGTGGCAGGTATCACCTCCTCCCCACCTAAGGCAGCCAGACAGAGCTAGATGATTAGAGCCGTAAATCAATGCCTGAGTAATGCTGCATAAACATACAGGGCTTACCAGCTACCCAGGTGAGTGTCTTGGTCACTTCCTTTGGCTTTGTATTTCCAACAGGTTACATCAAAAAAAGCCCAACAGCTTAGTTTATCAAGGAAGTATGTTGAAATCAATGGGATGGCAGTGGGAATTTCAGTCAATGCTCATCAATGTGTGTGTGGCACACAACACCAAATGTGTGAAAAAATAAAATATGTTTCCAAAATGGTATGCAACATATAATGAGTAGCTGCCCTGAGCAGTGGATGCACACATGAAATGTAAGCCAGCCATACACAGTTGTATTCAGTCTCCCTGCAACTCCTCCAGTCTACATATTATTCATTCATTCTCATGTCAAAAACTTTTGCAAGGTTAGTACAGCAATTGCTGCTCTATGGTAACCCTCAGCCATTTTCTGAGAGTAATTCCTTGTATTTTATGCACTTTGTACACTGCTTATCTCTGTGGTACTTTATTCTACTGCATTGGGTGCCTACAGATGGCAACAGTCAAGCTCTAAGCTAAGCAAAGTGACAACCAGAAGAATTACAGGAACAGCATCAGGGACAGGATATACAGCCATGGCTAGGATTTCACCAGTCTTCAGGTAACAGTATTACTTATCAATGTTTACATGACCTTTCATAAAAATATCTCCAAGTATTTTTTTTGCAAATATGTTACTTCAGATTTCAAACATTTTCCTATAAAAACAGTATCCAGAACGCTCTAGGCTCAGGCTACTTCCCTTGGACCCTGCTAAAATAAGGAACACCAGGAATCTTCTTCACTGTGTATGGTCCCACAGACTTAATCAAATAAATTCTGACCTTCTCTCCATTAAAGTAAGTATTAACTGAGATTAATCAGTCTCTCAGAGGGCATCACAGAAGAATCCCTCATTATAGTGCCTTACACATCTGAAATTACATTCACAGCTCCACAAACACAACCATGAGTTGAATAACCCTCCAGTGCTTCTTAGACAGTGAAAGTCCTAGTGCCACTGAAAGTGCACAGGCTTACAAGAAGCATGTTTAATTACTTCAATAACTAGCCTGTTCCTCTAACTAACCCAGTATGTATAGCTGTAGGCAAGACAGAAGATAATGGTACAGTGTGGAGGCAAACGTTTCCTACCTGACATGAATCACCAGCGTACTCCGGAGGGCAGGAGCATGTCTCTACACTGTATGCAATGCTGCCGCTTCCTGTGCTGGTGGCTTCTTCCAGCCCAACCTCACCAAGTGTTAATCGCTGAGTCTCCATGAAGTAAAGGCCTCTGATGTGTAAGCCATCCAGTCTAGACAGGATTACCATCAGTTCTTCTCTGGATACAGGGTTATTGCTGCTGGCATGCCTGAAGTTTCCCTGCGCATTAAGGGTACAAAATGAGCACAGCCCTGCAGCTTCTTAAAAAGAGTATCTGCGAAGAAGACCTGAGGACAGAAAAAGGGAGAAAAGACCCATGGAACAGACCCCTACAGTGCCAATTGGTGTGGGGTGAATTAGAGGCCAGGAAAATAAACATAAAATGCGTCAAGAAAAGAATAATGAATATTAAAAGGGATGTGGCTTTTACTTTGTGAGGTACATATGACTTCGCGGTATCAAAAAGTGAAGAAGTCCATAGGTTCTTCTTCAGTCATCCAGATTTCTTTGAGATATCACTCAACAACACATAAAAGAGTGGAAGAAAATGCTTTTATTTTTTAAGAGTAAGTGAAGTCCTAGAAATCCAGTCTTTCAGGACTGCCTTCACATGCTTTCTTGCTAGACACAGCATTACTGAAAATGGAATCTGGCTTGAAGAAACATCTTTTTTGCCTGCACATGAGACAGAAATAAATAACCCAGTTTGACCTACTGAGCAGAGATTTAAAGTAGGAATAATCCCTGTTAAATTCACCTACCTGAATATTGGACACCCATTCTAAACTAGGCACCTAGACACCAAGGAAAATAGATACAGTTCATACCATCCCTCTTAAGTACAGTCTGGGGCTGCAATGAATCATCTTCCATTGATGACTGATTCAGTGTTACTGCACTGGCCCTGGAGGGAGTGCTAAGGGCTAAATTGGACAAGATGCCTAACTCAGAGGTGCTAAAATTAGGTGACATGAACCAGAACCCAGGTTCAATGTGGCAGTAAAGAGAGAGAAAAGATGCTGCTCATATTTAAGGTCTAAAGTACTTAAGTTCATATTAATTAGCATTATCAAATATTTGGTATTTCTCCACATATTACCTGCACATTTTTTGTGTGCCACAGGGAAGGAAAGAGAAGGCCATCCTCTTTTCATTTCTTACCTCAACCAGCTGCACACGGCCGTAATACTGACGATCAGGCAGTGGATTGTTGGGATCCATATAAACAACTTCCATTTGATGGCCCTTTGTAAGAATGAGGATATAACATTGCCATATCACTACTTTTTATGGTAAAGTGTACAGATGCAATAAAATTTGGTGAAGCACATTAATCCTGTTCTGTGAGGGATAAAACTAAGTAATACTAGGAAAACTGTGTATCACTTTGTCAGTAAAGGGGTATAGTGAGCACTGTGTTCTAGTGTCACAAGGCTTTGACTGCCTTTGCCTAATAACAACCTTGCTTTCAAGTAAAACACCAGGATAACCAAATTAATACTGATCAATTTTTACAGGAACTAATTACTACTTTCGAGTAAAAATGCTGTTGCATTTTGAAACACTCTCCTTTGCATCCTGGTGCACAAGCAACTATGGATACTATTGTAACACTTTATGAGGCATGTTTCCCAGTAAGAATCCTAGAATACTGAAGTAGCATTTCTGATGGTCTGAGCAAACAAAACCACTCCCTTGAGAATTTCAACAAATAGCCAAATACTTCCATTTTGGCCCTAAAGTGGTTAAATCAAAAAAACATTAACATAAAATGCATTTTTATTTCACTCCCTTGAAGCCTTATAATTATGCTTAATTTTATGCTGAAGAAAATTCTCAGAGAAAATGAGATTAATTACACATAGAATCCAGGGCATCTTTTGCAGAGATGAGGCCATACTTGTTGACAAGCGTGCAAGGCATTAACGATTTTTTTTCCACATGTGCATTTTACAGAGAAAATCCTGTTTTATCTTTTTATTTGCTCTCAAATCAGTTATGCTTATATTATATGCTTATAATATGCTACTTTGGCAACAGAGACAGATGTGTTGATGGCTTTGAGCAAAATGCAGTAAAATCACTTTTATAGAAACATAGCAAGTCACTATTAAAGTTAAGCACACTATAGGAGCAAAATTTGCCATAGTTGTCAGGTGACATAAAAGTCATGGCACTGGTGTTGCTTAAAAGAAAAAATAGTATTTCAAAACTTACTATTAGTCGTATATCAGGTCTCTTATCCAGGAGAACCATGCCCTCACTAGGTAAGCCAAAAGATTTCACTTGGTAACTTAGGAAGCCACCATATGAAGAAAGCTGTAACAAAATGCACAAGGACAGAGGTATTTTACTGCACTACTGCTTGATATCAATATAACTTTGTATTTCCATTTACTCCATCTTCTAGCACTGTAAATAATATATTTACTCTTTGTTCTTTATAAAAAATATTAAAATAGTGTTGCTTGAAAGAAATTGCTTTCTATTTTCTTTACTGTGTATATCTGGCATAACGTTTTGAGCAGATACTGTTGTCTCAAAGGTTACCTTCATCATGGGGCATTTTTTCATACCTGGGTTCACACAATCTGTGTCATGGAGAAATCACATGCTCACATGAGCTTCTCCTGACCATACAAAATAGATTTGGTGCATCAAGAGCAGACATCATACTGACAATGAGAGTGGTAGTGAACTCCATGAACAGCCATGGATAAAAAGAAGCCAGACTAAGCATGTTTAAAGGTGTGTTTCATAGGCCAGCATTTTCTAAAAGTACTGCAAACACGGACCCAATCAGAAAATGTTTGCTCCACCATCTGGAGGACAGGACTTGTACCACTATCAGCTCTGTTGTACGCAGACCATTGCTGTAGGCTGAGCTGAAACCACATTTCTTTTGGCTCAACTACAGGTTACCACAGGCGGCCTCAAGCCCAACCAAATACATACACTGCTGCCCAGAACAGAAATAGGCAACTGTGTTTGAATCATCTGATGAACAGCTTCCCTGGGTGGTGTACGAGTGACTCAGTACAAAAGAGGAAAGGAAGCTCCAGGCACAGAGTACATAGTTCTTGTTTCAAGCCTCTAGAAGGAAGATTTGCAGGTATTAAATGAAATTAGGTGTTTAGCCACAGATACAACACTTTGTTTTGCATTCCTTGCTGTTTGTCCTTGTATCTGTGCCTGGTTTTGACATGGGGGGAAGAACTGCTTTGTCAGGTTTTGCTATTCTACAGATAAGCACCAGCCTTCAATCTCTTCCTTTCCATATACTTCGATGAATTACAAGAAAAATATTGACATCTCAATACTAAATTTGTTCCTTGGACCACAGGGCCATAATGAATGCTATTCTCCTTAGCCAGCTGCATTTTAAAAAGGATCATTTGGCACATTAGCTATACAATCAAACCACTCTGTATAAATAAATTTAAGAAAAAAAAAGGAAATTCAAAATAGAGTTAATTTCCTGTTTAACACATTTTAGAACTGCACCATATGACAGGCTGTTATTTCTTTTTCAATGATTTTTTTTTAAATGGGAAAATATTGGTCTTATAAACTATTCTCTATATTCTAGACGTACGGTATTTACTTTCTAACGTTAAGAATAGTCTATTAAATGGAATGTTAAACTACAAAAGAATAGAAAATTGGGGCAATGTGATCTAAATTTCTCAATGGCTGTTAGTTTCTTCACTGCTGTAGATTTTACATTTGATTCCCTTTTAATTTGGTAAACAACAGACAGAGAGAGGAAAGAAAATACACTCTGCTAAATATAAATGTTCTAGTGGAACTAGTTAAAAGGTTTAAGATAATGGAAAACAGTATTTATACCCTCGTCATAATGAAAGATGTCTGAAGTGATCTTGTTCACATTTTCCAAAAGAGATGCTATCAGTGGAAGCAGACCAAAACCTGACATTTTCAAAATACAATAACATGAATAATTGGTAAACTTATGAGCTTGTAAAAATAACAGCTAGATAGAATTTTGGGAGTACTTTCACTACTGCAGTATTGTCTGTGCTAAAATACATACTCACACGGTGTACAGCAAAAGCAGGGCCCAAATTAGAATTATTTTCTTTACAGTGTTGTCATTGTAAATAAAAGGAAGTCATGGCATGTCTAGGCAGCTACTGTGATGTGCAACATAAAACTCATAGCACCATCTTTAATGCTCTGGTGTCTATCTCATTTGTGTTATTTTGTGTGTCAGTAGGATTGAAATGCCTGTCTATCCAGCGACTGGCTAATAACTGTTGACAATGTCAGAGTTCCAGACAGGGAGATCTGGAGCTTTGGGCATGTGAGTCACCATTAGTAAAGTCCCCCTGGTCAATGTGATCCTCAGGCTGAGATGCTTATAGGTATTAACTGTGAGCAAAAGACTACCCCCATGCATGAGCAGAAAGAGCAGCAAGCAGTTCAAAGAACACAAAGGTTAGAAAACCAATTGTTGCTCTTCCCAAGCAACATATCAAAATCAAAAGGTTAGAGCTCTTTTGTGTACCACTGAGCACCTTTTATTCTAAATTCTAATCATCTATATTCTTTTGGAAATCTGTCCAGGACATACTCTAGGAAATCTAAAGGATTGTCAAGCTCTGTGTGTCCTGGGTTTCAGAAAAGAAGTTAAAGGTACCATAGCTTCTGACTGTGCTGTTCACAGAAAGACCTTTCTGGCACTGAGCAACATGATTAATTCTGTATTACTGGTTAATTTTAACACAGTACTCGGGAGTAAAATGTTGTGATTCCTGGCATGACAGGCAAGAGAGACAAGAATCTCATGAGGGAAGAAAGAAAAACATATCTAAGAAAAACAGTGAGACCCTTTATCAACAATGCTGGCAAAAAACCTAATATATGTTATTAAAACAGATGAGTTACGTGGCATTTACCTTCTCTCCCAGGTAAGATGGTGGTGCTTTCCAGTATAAACTGTGCACTGAAGCAGGCAATTCTTGGACATCAGCCACTACACTGTTACTGATGGGATTGAAAGTGACTGGAATGTCAATATTTTCATCCGTGGCCTCCAAGCGCCAGTTCCTCATGTCCACAAACTAATGCAAAATACATAAAGGAAATAAAAGCTTGTCTCATCCTTTATTAAATTTTACCAGCACCAAGTATTGAGAAGAAATTTTTTAGCCACTGTAGTTCCCTTACCCTGAAAACCAATCCCTTCTGAGCCAGCCTAGAGTCTTTGTGCAATGGATGTTTCATGGACCTCAGAAGAAAGCTGAAGTGGGATGTGCTAAAGCTATTTGGGATTGCGTTTGTCATCTGCAAACTAAATTCTGTCTTCAGTCATGTGAAGACATACCCTTCTGGAGGTGACCAGGAATTGTGTACACAAACCCAAGGACATAATTTGGAGTTGCTTTTTTAAGTCCGTTCCAAAATCAAACCCAGGACACTGACCTAAAAGATAGAGTTTGGACCAGTTGTGGTAGGTTAACTGTGAGGGAGGGGACATGACAGAATCATTTTGCAGAGGCAGCCAACATAGCCTAATGTCCTGGCTCTTTAATACACTTTTTATGTTTACGGCTGTTGTCTCATGAAAGACCATGCATCCTGTTATTTATCATTAAGACAGAAGAAAGAAAGCATAATGCATATATACCAGAATAGTTCTGCGGTGGGTTGCCTGTGGCTGGGCAGAGCAATAAACCAAAAAGGTAGACATGTTTTCATAAACAGTTTTTGGTGAGGGTAAATAATCACCAGAGGAAATTTTCCTAAAGCGAATGGAAGTTTGCTACTGACTTTGCTGAGGCCAGATTTTCATCCTTTGCTTGTAAACAGTAAAGGACCACAATCTAGATTGCATCTAGTCTATGCCTAAACCTTAACTAAACTCCTCATCCATCATTCTAGCTCTCCTCTTTTTCTTTCTCTTGCATTGTTTCAAACAGCTGCTGCTTTTTTTTTCATTTTCAGCCACCTTAGAGTTCAATTATGCCACTAGAAATCTACCTTCATTTCTCTCACTTGATGTCATGTCTCTTTTATAGGGAGGGAAGAAAGACGATTTTTACAATCTCTGTAGAATCTGTCACACATTTCTTAAGTTTAAAAATGCATCTGTGATACATACACACAAAATAACATGTGCTTATCAAAACATCTTGAAGGAGTCCATTGGCTTTAATGATGACGTAGAGTTTGAAGATAAAGCAAGCAAGACAAAGGGCAGCTCAGCTTTAGCTGAACGAGTGATTTGTAAACAAACAGGTGAAAAGGGCCATTTTTGCTGAAAGACAGAAGTCCATTCCACACCTAAGTCCTACGAAGGCTGCACTAAATCTGCACTATTGCTTCGAGATTATTTCTGATCCTTAGAAACTAATAAAATATCTTCTCAATTTTGGAAGAAATCTGGCATTTTCTTAATGGAATAAATGTAGGTTCAGATAGAAAAGGAAAAAAACTATTGGATGCACCTTTGTTCTACGATGATTTGTGCTGCGACAGTTGCTGGTTGCCCCAAAACAAAAGCAGGAGGTGCATCCTCTGGGATTAGAAGGGTCCAGATAAAAGGATCCTGGTCGGCAAGTATCACATGCTGCACCTTCAACATTCTCCTGTTAAGGCATAGTTGAAAGAAATCTCAGTGCTTTCCTTTTGGTTTTGGTGAGGACCCCAAAACCTCCTGCACATAAAACAAATTTTCTGAAATAATATTTATTTAAATGTATGGAAGCATGAATAAAATATGTGATTATCTGGACAGACCATATTCCAAATGCAAGTAAAACTGTCTTGGAGACTATCTTATGAGCTGTCTTTCCCATTTATAAAGTGAACCACTGAGTAATAAATATTAGTCACAGACAGCTGGGAACTTCCCTGCCAAAACCCTCCCTCTGGCTTTTGCAAACCTACAATATAAAAGGTCACTTGTGAAAGTTCACATTTATCACATTTAATTATGCAGATCAGAACAAAAGAAGATTTCTTGAATGTAATGATGTGGTAAAATGTCAACTGACAGAATATGGCTAAAAAAAGCATGGGACCTGGTTAACATCCAAAAGCCAAGACGCAGACGGATAAAGGAGATCTGTGAAGGGTATGGATTGCTTCAGTGAATCAATGGACATCCACTCTGCAGCTTTCTAACATCCTGCAAAGCCTAAGATCCCCTGTACAACTGACGGATTTGAAGTCATTAAAGAATGGCATCTAACACTCCTGTGATAATCTCTGCACGTACTGCAAGGAGTGATGGCTCTGTACAGCTGCATTTCATTTTTACTGAAAACTTAATGATAAACTCACTTCATCCACCCCATTAAATACGAAATATTCACTGAAGTGCAAATGATGCTTGTGAAGGCAGAAGTAATTTGATTTATCTGACCTTGCAAAGACAAATTCCTGTCTGGGGATCGCAAACTTCTGGTTCTGTTCCATCTCTGTTGCAGCTACATGGCACACAGTTAGGGAAACCATAAGTTCCAGGAGCACACTGATCACACTGACGTCCTTTTATTCCTGGCTTGCATCTTTGTCAACAAACACAGAGGAGGAAGTCAATAGGGGAGGCAAGAATGAAGTGAGCAAAGGAAGATTAAAATAAGAGACAGGTGGGTCTTTGATATGATTGCACAGCCATGACACAACTTTACGATTTCCACAGAGAAACAGCAGGTTAGTATTGTTCTCAGATTTGAATAGTCTGACGTTTTAAATGGCCATGGAACTGACTAGAAATGGATTTGATTTTGAAGGATAAAAATGCTCACAATAGAATTAGACTATTCAGTGCCAAAACACTCTGTACACCAAGGTGTAAAACATGGATGTTGAATATAGCCAAGGGAGCTGGAAGAAGATTTATATCTGAAAAATGTGACTGAGCCTTACTCAAAGCACACACCTGCTAACAAAAAAGTGGAGAATCGCAGGCATATGAATAATTACAGGAACTTCAACCTTTCACAAGGCTTGGATTAGTTTACAACTATTCACAATGGATAAATTCCACATTGCTCATAGTGAAGGCTGAATGCCTTGAATTTCCCATATCCGCTCGAAGTACTCGAAACGAATGGTGAAGCAAGCCAGTCATGCATTGTTTGTAGCACACGTAACTCAAACTCACTTGCATTGCCCATTGGTTTTTTCACATTCTGGACTTGCCGCATTAATGACTCCTCTTTCTGAGCAGTTGCAGCTCTCACAGCCAGCAAGGGGGTGATAGCTGAAGTAATGTTTCTCGCACACTTCACATTTCGGTTTCACAGTGCGTGGAGGGCAAATGCATTTACCAGTAATGTCATCACAAAGACGCTTCCCACAGTTGCATACTAGGTCAAAGAAAATGTTCTACAATTCAATCACATCTCATCTGACAATTATCAACTCTTATTGAACTTGCATATGAAACACACACCCAACCTTTATGTGTAGAGGACATGACTCTTCTCTCTTTTATTATTTTAAAGCTCAGGGTCATGGAAACCAACTATGTGACTGCAATGGTAGTTTCAAAGAGCAGCTTTAGTGCTTGGCTCTTTTCCACAGATTGGTTGCTTAACTTCACCACAGGCATTGTTAATCACTTGCCAAAAATTCCAAGGATTAAACAATGAGGAATTTCGGTGTTAAGGGCACCGCTGTTATAAAGCAATGTTTATAAAGATCAAGCATAGTATCTGGGAAGGCAGCTGAGGACTGTTGGTGTAATCCACAAATCTGTTGATGTTATTAAGAATAACATCAGCATATGAGGAATTAAGAATGCTATGTCACTGATTATCTATGTTAAAATGAAGGTGTAAACTGGGATCAAACAATATTAACTTGGAAATGATTTAGCAGTCAGTGCAGAAAAAAATCCATTTCACGGAAATAGTGGCAACATGGAATTTAACCAGTTTAGCTGTAGGCCTACTACACCTGATGAGACAACACATGCAAAGGCACACTTCATTGTGAACTAGGTGTGCATTGAGGGAATGGGGCTACTTCTGCCTTAAACTGAAAGCTACGCTAAAATAAAGCCAGGATTGTTCAAACTTTCACAGGATCAGGCCCTACAAAGGAAAGTGAGGCTAAGGTACCTCTGCAGTAAATCCAGAGGATGAAATAAAAGGTTGGGTCAGGTGCTAACAAGTCTGAGCATATACTTACACCTGCAAAATGGGAATCCATAGTAGCCAGTTTGGCATCGGCTGCACTGACGACCGATGACGTTAGGTCTGCAAACACACTGTCCTCCCAGGGGGCTGCATGTAGGGCTCATGGCACCAGCACTGTGGCAATTACATGGCAGGGCTCCGTTGTTGTAGAAAGCCACCAGTGACCTTACAGAGTCCTTACAGAAGGCCGATGATCTTTCTGGGCTATTTAAACAGAAATACAAATCATGTAAGTACTGGCACTTTGGAATTGTTATGAGAGTGGTTCACAGTGGTTCAGTAAATTAGGGTCCTGCCTCTCAAACACTTTGACATAAGCATGACATCAGTGCACATGCAAGGGTATTTTTTAATTATATTAGTGGTGAACAGCTTCGAACATGCAGGTAAGAGATGCTTTTTCAAAGCAGGTGAGTATATTAGTTATATCAGTTCAGACATGCCAAGCAAAATACCAAAGATGGAAATACCAAAGAAAGATGACATAGATTTTCCTCTTTTGTACTGTGAGCAATAAAGCTCCACCTTTAAATTTCATTTGCAATGGAAAGTCATGGAAAAATGACTCACAGAAATTTAATGGGCCAGCATAAGCCATGAGAAGCATTATAATGTAGCACAATGATGGGGATTTTATACATCTCTTTAATACAGAATAAAAGTAATATTCCTAGCTCATTGTCAACATTCAGTTTTTTAGGAAGTGATGCTTACTCAGTATAAAAACTGTTGCCTCCACATTGGCTGATAAAGTCAAATGACTTGTCCACTGTCTTTTTGTCAAGAATTTTGTAACTGTAGGTGTCAGCTGGAACAACTAAGATATTTTCCTTAAAACAACAAGAAAGCTAAATTGTACATTTCAGAGAAAAACAAAAAGACATAAGCTAAGGCATTCATATATATATTATACAATATACATTCTGGATTTTCTCAAAACCTGTAAGAATTTAACCAATTTAAAAAAATAGGAAAATAAATTTCTCATGTTCACTTCAAAGTTGTGACGCTACAAGCAGTGTACAATAAAAGCACTATATAGTATCTTAAATATTTAAAATAAACCCAAAGCAATGCAAAAGATTCTAAAAATCTCAAATTTTAAAAAATTGCTCTTTTTGGCTTTCATCTTTGCATGTGTCTCTAAATGAATGGTGAAACTGAGAATTTATGTAACAAACATACCAGAACCAGCACTCTCCCATCTGGTATCATCACTGTAATTGAGACCTTGGGTTCCAAAATGTCAAGCTCAATTTGGTTTTCTGCAATCACCTGATCCCGACAGCCAGAAGTATGAGGGCAGAATGAAGCATTGAAGGTACCTGGAAGAAAAAACATAATGGGTTTGTGTGGAAAAGTTTTGGTAGCAGGAGGCTACGGGAGTGGGTTCTATGAAAAGCTTCCAGAAGCTTCCCCCATATCTGACAGAGCCAATGCCAGCTGGCTCCATGACAGACTCACTGCTGGCCAAATCTGAGCCCAACTGTGGTAGTGCTTCTGAGATAACATATTTAAGAAAGGAAAAAAACCCAGCCTGCACAACAGCAACTAGAGCCAGAGATAGAAGCGAGAACATGTGAGAGCAACAGCTCTGCAGACACCAAGGTCAATGAAGAAGGGGAAGGAGGTGCTCCAGGTGGTGGAGCAAAGATTTCCCTGCAGCCCATGATGAAACCATGGTGAGACAGGCTGTGCCCCTGCAGCCCATTGAGGTCCACAGTGGAGCAGATTTCCACCCATGGCCCATGGAGGACTCCATAGCAGAGCCAGTGGATGCCCAAAGGAGGTTGTGACCCTGTGGGAAGCCCACACTGGAGCAGGCTCTTGCTAGGCCTTGTGACTCCGTGGAAGGGACCCATGCTGGAGCAGTTAGTGAAGAACTGCAGTCCATGGGAAGGACTTGTGTTGAAGAAGTTGGTGCAGAACTGTCTCCCATGGGAGGGACCCCACACTGAAGCATGGGAAGAATGTGAGGTGTCTTCCCCTGAGGAGGAAGGAAGAGCAGTGATAAACTGACTGCAGTCTCAATTCCCTGTCCCCTTGCACCACTCAGGGGGAGGAGTGAAAAAAATGGGAGTAAAGTTGAGCCCAGGAAGAAGGGAGGAGTGGGGGGGAAGATTTGGTTTGATTTCTCATTACTCTGATTTGATGGTAATAAATTAAGCTAATTTTGTCCATGATGGTAATTGCTGAGTGATCTCTCCCTGTCCTTATCTCCACCCACAAGCCTTTCATTATATTTACTCTGCCCTATCCAGCTGAGGAGGGGAGTGACAGAGCAGATTTGGTGGGCACCTGGTGTCCAGCCACGTCAACCCAGCATAGGTGGGGTTAGACCAAATTCGGATGCTTACCTGACCACACACGTCCTGCATCCACACGGACTTGCACAGAGAACACTGGGTGTGCTGGCTGATAAAAATGTACCACAAATATGTATCTGCCCAAGTATGGCACTCTGCCACTCAAGGTAATCTGGTTCTGGAGAAACAAGAACAGCTCTGATATTTTATTTGTTTTGTGAAATATTCACAAAGTGCCACCTACCTGCAGTGAAAGAGAGCGGGCTCAGCATCTCTCAGCAAGTTAAATACCTTCAAAGAGCATGGCATTACAACTGCATGCTCTGTTTGTCTGCCAAGCACATCTAACATTTTTCTGCAGTCTGCGAGACTACTGCATAGTTTAGAAAAAATCTGGACTGCTTTTTTTCTTCCTGTATATTGTCTCTGTGGCTTACTCAGCCTGCAACATTTTGATCATATCACATCATTCAGTTTTGATGCTCTTACAGTGTTTCATCTATTTAACTTTACTAAGAACATAATTTGTGACATATGAAACAAAGTTTTCAAAATATGAGATACCTGTAATGGTGTCAAGGTGACTCCATTAACTGAATCAGCCAGTGAAGGGACACTCAGTGGATCATAGATTACATTCTTCCGTACTTCGGAAATCTTCCCATCTTTGAATGCATTCAAAACCAAAGCTGCTGGTGGAGTTTCATAAACTGAGGGAATGCATGTTGCACTAAACATAGAATTACAGTAATTACTCTTGGGTCCAGGAGAATTTTGTAAGCATCATAATAGGAAAAGCTGTTGACTCACAAAAGGCAATATATTATACTGTATTACAACTAATAATGCAATAATGCAATATTTGGATTCTGTGTAAATGATCAGAAAGTAAATGAAAACAAGAGGTACAGATTAAACTTATAAAAGGGAAAGTGTACATTAACTGATTTTATTCACTTAAAATTTGCATAATTCATAATAAGTTTCAATGGAAAAAGTTTGCTAAGGAAGAGGAAACTTAAGGGAATCAAGAGTGTTAAAAATTAAATGCATTTTAGTTAATCCAGTTAGTTACATTCACCAGAATCTATACTAATATTGAATTCTCAGCTCTACAAATATTTATATAGGTATATCCTTTAAACATGAAAGTTTCCCACTAAAGTCAATGGGACTACTTAAGTACTTAGAAGTTAAGTATACACTCAAATATTTGTAGAATTGGAGCCAAAATAAATAACAGTACTCCTTGAAAGCATCCTTATTAATTCAGTGCGGTGTTTAACTATTTCTTCCTTGGCACATTTGATTCTGAAGAACTTGACTGAGAGAAGAATTTTCCAAGACTGCAGGATAAAATGTTTTGGGGGTTTTCCTGATAGTATTTGTTCACTTCTCGTAAGTACTCAACAGACAATGATTAATCTTTGCTTAAGACAGGCCCAGAACTGGAATGGCAACTATGTTTCAAGGCCAGAACTGAGATGCATTTGCCAGGCCTGTGTGGGAAATCATGTGCAGCACCCACTTATAATACTGCTAAACTCAGCCAAGACTCTGAATCATTTGACTTGGTGAACTTAAACACTTTCAGGAAAGGAAAAATACTGCCAGATAATAATAATAACAGGACATAAACATACTGTAAACTATGCAAATATAACAAGAGACTAAGAAAAACCCAACACAAAACCAAAGTAAAAGGCACAAGTTTCTACATTAGCTTTATTTTAAATTGTGTTTTCACCCAGCCTCTTCTCCCTGCTTTACTCAGATTATAAATGTCTGGATCTGCAAAATATCTTTGGTGCAAAGTATCTTCAGTCTTAGAAAGCTGCTCTCAGTGGTAACACTCAGACGAGGAGAATTAAAGCTGTGAATCAATGCTACGCATGCTTGGAAGCCAAGTACAGTCACATGCTTTTATCCAATTTACTATCCAGAGTTTTCTGCTTTCTATTTCAATTCAACCATTAAATTAGAAGCTACTGTCTGGAAAACTATTGGACCTAGTCACCAATTCTTTCTGCCTCTTAAGTTCTGCAAATGACATTTACTTTTACTTTGAGGCCCTTCCCATTGCCAAATCTGTAGGAAGAAAGCCTTAAGAGTAGCATCACGAGGGACACCCTGGGGAGTTCAACAGGCATTGAAATGTGGGGCTCCCTAATTTGGAAGCTGCAGTGATAGTTCTTCTCTGGCCCAAAGAATAAAAGATGGAGAGGGGAAGAGCTTCAACAGGACAGAGCAAATGTTTGGCGGAATCCAATCCTGACCACTTGGGAAGTGAAGGTTCAGGTTCAGATCTTCACAGCAAGAGAAGAGTCATCAGCCTGTGTCAACCAAGCAGAACATGAGTCCTCTAATTACTAGTTCTATAAAGTATAGTGGAGAAGAAGTATCACCTGGCATTGCTGTGCAGGGTGAATGATAAGGGCCCACCTACCCTACAGGCCTGATGATGAGACCGACAAGGGAATGGGTTCTTTGTGAAGTGGGAGGCTTACATGTTGAATAATTTGATGTTGTCAAGTTGAGCTGGTGGACTTGTGCCTGAAAGGGCAGTCACATCCCCTACCCAATAACTAATTAAAGCCATTGTGGGACAGCTGAAGCTGTTATGTGCAGCAGAAAACTCCAGATGGAACAGTAAGCGTTTCAAGCCACCAAAATACCAATGTTTCTCCAGCACAGGCACCTATCATACTGGATAGACCGTGAAAGATGCATGTTTTCTAAGACATTAGCACTGGGTAGTTCAGATGGGCCAGAAAGATACTGGTATTAGCAAAATCCTATGCAAAGACTGTCTAGATTATCAGCAACACTTCAGCTTTTTTACAAATACTCTTTGCAAAAGTGGCCTACAAATCACTTGTGAGTCACTGGGCAAAGGTTCACTCAAAAGAATTAAAATACCATTTAGTCTGCCTTTCAAGGTCATCTTGAGACAATAGGAAGGGTGAAATCAAGCAAGTTACCTTCCATCATGGGTACTCCTGTAAGCAGCTATGCACTGTACTTTAGGATCCACATATTCTGTAGAAAATTCTTCAGCTGATATAATACAAACCTTATGCTGAAAAACAAGCACAAGGCACAATTAACAATTAATATTGTAAACAACAGGGCCAGGCCTCAACAGGAAAGATGAAGCCTAATTTTAGCATGGGGAGATCTGAGCCCAAAGCCGAGTTCTGTCATGTGCCATGGACCTCCCATAATATTTTGGATCACTTTACCTCTCTGCACCTCAGTGTCTCAGCATTAAATAGCATTTTTCTCTCCTTCTAAAGAAAATGTTGGCTGTTCAGAAGTTAAGTAGCTGGAACATAAATATATGTGTGACAATGGGAAAGACAGAATACCAGCTCACAGAGTGAGAAGCTAGGCAAGGAATGTACAGAGGTGGGAGGGAAAAGTCCTCATTTGTGCTGTTAGAGACTTCTGGACCTTGGGGAATTCCTAAACTTTCTGAAATGCAGTCACAAACGATTGCACAAAGTCCACGGCAGCGAGTTTCAGTGACACCGGGATTTCTTCCAATAGATTCAGAACTCATTTCAAAATAAACAAGACCTCCTAGGATTTTTATTTCTTTTAATCTAAAACTAGACATGAACAAATGAATTTGTGGTGATCCTGCTGTAGCCATGGTGGTAAGGACATAAGGGAAGACTTGTAGGTAGACACAACAGTACGCACTACTAAAACATGTAATGAAATCCATACCTGAAAGTTACAGAACTTATGCATGAAGTACTTGAAAAAGGAGATAAAAATGATGATAAGCAGTAAGACAGTTAGCACTATGTATTAATGTAAATAAAAATTGCAAAAGAAGAATTCATTAATAAGCAAAGTGATTCAGTTTATAAGCAGGTCCTAAGGGAGCTCAGCCTGGGTTTTAGAAGTAGTGAGCAGGGAATAAACAACCTTTATAATCTAGAAGGCAGAGTGCTAAAAGTCCCTATTTTTCTGGGCAACAAACATTGTGCCTGCCTTGAATGTAATGACCCCCAGGACTCCAGCCCAGTGCAGCAGTACACTGCAGGGTACACTCTGAAGCTTTGAATGACACTTTATGAGTAGCTAAAAAGTTAGTACAAAACATGGTCTGAGTTTGGCCAGCTTTTGTGCATCAATGTGAGATAGACTATCAAGCTGTAAGAGCCTCTCTTGAAAGATGACCCCAATAACCCTATTTCCCCTTTATTTAGGCCACATCTCTCCAGTGCTGGGAGTGGATCTCCTTTCCCTCTCTGGACTACATGACAGGGGGTCACATAAAGGTCTTTAACACCAAAACTGCTGCCACTGACTTCATGTTAGTTTCAATATACCAGAAGCTCTTCTTTTCCCCTTCATATCTTTCGCTAAGTCCAGTCTTTACAAATCACATGGGGAAATATTTCCTATCTCAGGAGATACTGAAATTTATCTGGCAAGTTATTCAGAGAATGAAAACTAGAACTTAGAAATAAAAATATAGAGATTCTTAGCACAAGAGACTTCCACATGTGGAGATACAATGTCAGTGTCTTTGGGATATGGATCTTGTTAGCACAGCAACAAAGGAGCTGACAAGACAGTTTAAATGGTATTTGTTCACACAGAATATTGCCTCATGAAATGAAGAAAACATGTATCAGCTGTTAGCCCTAATAGTTCCACAAAACTATGCTATGTTATCACCTGGGTTTATGATTTTAACTAATCTTGTGTTTCTAAAATGGAAAACAGAAACAACGCAGAAGAAAATTGTGTCCAGACTAATGTGTTCCTGGTGTGGCCAAAAGAGGTCAGTGAAGGCTTTTTATTCAAAATATCTAAAAGCTATAGGACAAATGAGTGCATTTATTACCTGAATTTTGTAAGAGACCCAGGAACTCCCATATGGGTTTTGAGAATTGAAAAAAAAAGTGAAAGATAAGGAAAGAAAATAAAACATGAATATAAAAGCTACCAGAATATTTTTCATTTAAAGTTTACTTCTAGAAAAGAAACGGGAACTGAAATAAAGCACAAGAGAAAGCTGGAAAAACCCTAGCCAGGAAAGGCAAATTTCTGTTTATCTTTGAGATTGATAAGACTCCCTCAGCATTCTCTGAGTATATATAAAGCATATCTATTCAAATATCTAACATATATCATTTCACACATTACCTTACAGCATGTGAACACAGGGAGACAAGTATCTCTCTTTACCCACTCAGGGAACAAGTATTACAAAAGCGAAAAGAAAATGGCAACTTACCAAAAGAAAATTAATTGATGATGCCTTAAGATGTATCTTTGTATCTGCTAGAAGGTCATAGGCTGCAATGCGATTTCTGTCATCAACTACAACACTGCGACAAAGGAAACTGAAACGAAAAGCAGGACTAAGGACGAGCCTCCTGGCATTGCCATGTTGTTTAGGCTGTCACCTAGCTTCACTGCCTAGTTTTTGGCCAGCCACACCACTGGTACCTAGCCATCCTGCTGGGTCATAACTAACCTACCCGTGGCCACCAGGGAATGTGCAGTATCCTCATGAGTGAGACAAAGAATCCACCATGAGCAAAACACTGCTTGTCTTTTGTGGGTTGACTTATTCAAAGCTGAAGCCTCCAGATCTCATCTCTGATACCCATTGGAGCTACTGTTTCAAGCAGGATGTAAACAGAGAGATATACAAGCTATCTGCAGAGGTTTCCACACTGTATAACATGGTGTGTAACTAATATTCTGTGTTTGGGCCATGCCCCTTGAGGTGCCAGCACACACCAGTTTCTGCTTTCCACTACTGCCACGTGCTGTCAATGGTGTGGATCAGCAGCTCTCACCCTCACAGTGGCAGCTAAGCAAGTCCTGATTTTAGGAAGCTCTTCTGTACACTGAGATGCTCCTCAACACAAGTGAGAAGATGTAGGTTTACCTCTTCCTGACCACCTTCAATTGGCTGTGCATTTCTGGTAAAGACAAATACATACTAAGGGGAAGAGTCTTGCTAAAGCCTTTGAACTTTCATTTGTTAAGGGAGCATGATGCCTGCAACTTGTCAAAAGTTCTCTTTTGCTAAAGAGAAGACTTATATGACTCTGCTTTCTTTTCTTTCTTCTGCACTTCTCAGGCAGGCCAGCCAGCATGCCGTAGGTGAGAAGTCGTAACCAACCACACAACTACTTCTCTTTTTCCTTTGCAAACCAGAGAATGTGGAAGTTTCACTCTTGTTCAAAACACAGATTAGAAATAAGGTCAGCTCAGGGCTAAGGACATTTAATACCAGAGAAATATAGGTTCCTTATTTGTGATTTGCTGGAAGTTTAAAATGTTTTATTCTCTTACAATGTTTTATTGGGAATAATCCAGCCATAGAGCTGTAAGAGGGCCTGGCACAATATATTCCAGATTCTACAAGTTATTCTTATCTGCATGTACCTCAGTACGTCATTGCTTGATTTATTTTTTATTAGAAGAGACTTGTACCTCCCTGCTGAGGAAAGATGACACAGCAGCTTACTTGCAATGTGACCATTAATTTCATGCAGAACAGCCACAGAAGGGATTTACAGCATTGCTACATCAAAGTAGCAAGGGTTTTCTTTGTATTTTCATGACTAAGTTCTTAATGTGTCATATACATAAAGAAGTATGTTCAAAATTAGCCCATAAAATGTGTTTGGAAAACGAAAAAAGCAGTAAAATGGAAGATTTATAGCAAGCAGTCTGGGGCTCAAGGTGTTATGTAACAGGATAAAATAAGAGCTTTCCCCAGCAATAACCTGACAAGCTCCACATAGCTCTGCTCTTATCACAAATATGTTGATGAAAATAATTTTTCTTACTGAGCAACTTCATCCTGAATATCCCTAAGCCTCCATTCTGCCAAACACCTGGCTCATGGGAAAATTAGATACGTGTCCCTAAGTCCCCTGGCACTGGGTAGGCTCCCCAAAAAAAGCACTCAAGTGTTAAAGACAATCTCACTCAGGACAGGCAAAATCCCTTGTGCAGAAACATCTGCAGTAACCTCAGCAGTCAACAAGGATAAATAAGCATTTGGCTGAGGTCCTTGCCTACAGCCTAACAGCCATGGCTACACTAAGAATTTCAGCAGAAGATACTTCTGCTTCAGCAAATCTTGTTAGAAATGGTGGGAATACTCTTGTAAAACTGGCTGCTACATTCTACATAGCCAAAGCCTCTGGACACTCTTTTAACTGCATCTGCAGCCAACAGTTATGGTCTTCCACTGGACTTGGAGACTAATAGCTCATAAGGATTCATGAATGTGTATTAAAAAATAACCCTTTGTATAAGAAAACAGTTCACTAAAGCAGTAGCAATATTTAATGAGCTGATTGCACAAAGAGAATTAAAATTCTGCACAAAATCCACAGAATCATGTGCTTTCCTTTAAATCACCCTAGAATTTGAACAATCTACATAGTAAAATGGATTTCAATATGGAAAAATATCCCAAATGCTTATGCAATTGCTTAGTGATTACTTCAGAAATTCTTACCTGTATTTACAACTATATATTCTCACTCTGCCTTCAGTGACAGGTCCAGGGCTATGTACTGTTACCTCGGCAGTGTATAACTGATCCTCTTCATTGGCATATTCAAAAACCAGAATGTAGCGCCCAACTTGAGGGACATTTATGGTCATCTGTAAATTGACCTGGGTCAAAAGAATTGAAAAATAAAAGAGCTGTTAGAATTTTCTTTCCCCTTTCTTGCTGAAAGCTCCCATTTCCTGCTGTCCAAGCCAACCGGTCAGCATTAGCCCAGGGCCAATTCTGTAATGTCTCAACAGAAGACACCCAGCAGATTGCAAGCAATGCTTATAAATATCTCTTTGTTCACTAATACGAGTCAAACAAGTTCAAGAAACAGCTGCCATTATAACAGTTCTGGGAAGGTTGTAAATACCCTGGGAAATGAGTATATTATTATTTCTCTTCTCCTCAGTAGAAAGGGAGGGAACATTAATTATGCTAAAAACTTGTCACTGTTATCTCCATACTATGTTTAACAACATATAAAAACTGAGTTTACTTCTCCACTGAAGGAAATATTTCCAGGAACACAAAATTCCTACTACAGCAGTGCTGGATATTGATTCCTGGCATAGAGTGAAAGCATCTTCTCCAGCAAACAGTCAATGTCACTTTCTGAAGCATCAAGACATTCTTTAGGTTGCTTGCACAAAGTGGTTAACACAATATTTGATGCAAAATACTTCTAAGTAGTTGCATGGAAGGTGCTGTGGTTATGGAGTTTTCTGCTTCAGTTGACTATGTAATTATTTTCAAATTTAAACTGTTTTTCTCAGTATTTCCTGAGGCTACAAACACTTAAACATGTAAATAATTCTGTCAACAGCCCTCTTGACTTCACTGCAATTATTTATACCAGTAAAGTTTTGCAAATACACCAGTGGTGAAGCACCAGAGCCTGTGGCATGTGAGTATTCTTGTTTCAATATTTTTAAAAGCAATATTCAAGCACAGTAATAGAGGGCATAATTATTTCGCATGTCACTATGACGAACTTGACAAAACACCTTATTTTTGCCAATCAACTTCTAGTATAACTTTTCATTTCATGAAACATGTGTTTCTCTTTCAAAGGACCTACAGCAGTGGCATAATTGTGTCTGTCTGGTTTCCAGTGAAGCAAATATTTTACATAAGTATAGCTATTTAAGCGAAAAAAGATTAGTGATGTATAAGCAATGTTTCAGCTGACAAATCATTATGTCATTTCTTCTGAACCAGCCAGTATGCCTAAAGCAAAGGGATTTTTACTTAATAAAATACTTCTGCCAAAGTGGAATGTCCACTGTAGTCAGTTATAAATCTGCCTACACTGATCCTTTTACATAGCTCTGTATAAAACACAGATCTTGGCGCAGAGTCTGTTTTAGGGATGTGATACCAATCCGTAAATCCTGAGCTGTTAATCTGCAACAATTTTAGTCTGCAAGGTTTATAGTCAACAGCACAGATGGGACTACAATTAGCAGGCAGGAATCTGACCTCTCTTCCACTGATATGGGCCATCACTGGTTGATTGGGAGTTGGCTGTCGCACAGGTATTCTTCTATATTCTCCCCCGTGTCTGAAATGCACTGCCTCTGAACCGAGGACACAGGAAAATCTGCCCAGAGGCAAATGCTGATAGAGCAAGCAGCTTACACACACACACAAAAAATAAAACAACAAACAAAACACAGGATTATTATTGTTTTCAAGTGCAGCAGGATAATAACAAAATAAACCAAGGCCCTGGTTTATTCTGTAGCATATATACTGACTGCTCTGTTGAAGCACGTCCCAAATATGTGCAAGGCTCTGTAACTTGTATCTGCAAGATGGATGCTTCGTAGTAATCACTAGGTAACAGCACCAGATAATCCTAAAAACAAAGAATACAACAAATGCAAGATCATGCAAAGAATGACAAAAGGAATGTCTCCAGATTTTCACAATGTAAGAAAGAACATAACTAATCATATATTTTACAGAGGGTATCTGCAAGATGTGAGGTTTTGATTTTTTGCTCTCGTTGGACAGGCCAATAACATCAGAATGTGTCTCCCTAAATCCATACATTCAGAAAGATAGGATGAGGGCAGCTGTCCTGTGAGCAGGGAAACTCTGAGGCCACTCTCCCATCACATGTTGTACAAGACAGTGCTCAGCAAGGTGCCTCCCCACAGCTTGGTAACACACAGCCAGATAGATGCCTGCAGGTTTCACCCCGAGTGCAATCCACATGCACACAGCTCAACTCTGCGTGACTCCACATGGGAGATTCATGTATCCCAGGTGACTTGATAAAAATATTCCATACAATCTAGTAACCTGCACTTCAAAAGCTGGTATATTTTTGTTCTGCCTTGCCTGTTTAAATGAATATTTTAGAGCTTATTTATAAAAACTGTTAATGCAAGAACATGACAGGCTAAGATCATTAATAAATTCCTTTTCAAAGGTACCAGTAAAAAACCCATTACAGTAAGTACTGTCAGTTTCAGTAAGAAATGTTTGCAAGCTCTTTAGTAACACTTTATGTGGTATTCCATAAATTTAACACCGCCCCAGGCTTAATGACTAAAGACACTGTCTACTCCTTAACCCTATACAATATAATTTCACTATGCTTTGTGACTACATGTGTTTAAGGTTTTTCACAAATGATGACCTCAAACCATTTCTCTTTTTCTAGCAATTTCTTAGAACTGCTGCTAGAAAGTTTTTCAGTTTTTCAGTGAAGGAAAGGAGAGCAGTGATGGGAGGATAAAAGCAGTCAGGCTGCTTATCATGCAGCCCATCTTATAATATTCTTATGTAGGCTCTTTGCCGAGAAACTAAGGCCTTGGTCATCTGTGACAGAGTTAACCTGTAGATACAACATCTGATATGTAAGAATTAGTAATTTCTGTAAGCATTTATATTCAACCAATTGTGTTGTATGTTAATATTACTTTATGCTTTGAAGGTACAGATTTCAGATAGACTTAAAGTCTGCAAGCACAAGAAAAAATAGAGCAGGTGAAAGTCAGAGAAGAATAAAATAAACAAGAAGCAGAACTGTAAATGTTCATAATTGCATTCTGCTGCTTATACTCTTTTCACTAGTGCTAAATTTCAATTGCTTGCTGGTTTCTTCCCAGCAAATAACTCCAGAGCAGTAATATCATGACAACCTTCAAGCATTTGTTTTCCTCAATTGTTTTCTTACCAAGAGGACTTCCTCTGCCATTATACTGACAGTCCACGTGCCTGGAACCAGTGAGAAAGGCTCTGTGGAGCTTTTTCCTGGGATTGTGACAAAAGCTGGCTCCTTGCTCGGTGGGAAGACAAACTCTTGGCTCTGAGCAGCCCCTGCCAGCAGGATTGAAAAAAAAAAATCGCATAAAAACATAAGGGACTGTGTAAAATGTCTTTACTTGCTTGGTGAGCTGGACTGATGATTAAACTTGGTCTAACAGGAGCTGATCGATGCTTTTCAGCCAATATGTATTAACAGTGTGCTTTACCACACACAGAGCTATGCAGTGGTTGTTGTTTTCATTCGTACTAGCCTTGAGCAAATTGGTTCAGAAAAGCAGAGCTCTGCCCCTGTAATGACCAGTTTTGCAATACTCTAAAATGCTCACTCCTTCACTTTCCTCTCCCATTATTTCAACCTGTCTCTGCACAGACTCACAATATGTTCAGCTGGCACAAGGCCTGTTCTCATGGGACTTTCAACCAAACATTTCAGGAAATAGGAGTTCTCAGTAGCATCTAAAATGTTTAGTTACAGATAACAACTGAAGATAACTTGTAGGCAGAGATGATGTACTACAGAAATGCAGCTGTGGTATGCCTTATCAAAGAGAAGTCATGAGGATCAACTGTTATGAATATTAAACATTTCCCCCTTGAGTCCCCTGGACACAGACAAAAGCTGGTTCTCTGCCTCCCAGTCAATATAAGCCAGACGACCACAAACTGCTGCCACTCTGCTCAATGATATCTGTGAAGTCTTCAGTTTTGTCTTCTTTGAATTACTGAAAGGATCTATAATGTAACCCCATTAGCTCCCATCAGTATGCTGAGGTCAGGCATTATAAAATCTAATTCTGCATATAGGCTTGATATACCTCTACCATTCAAAGAATATGGAGTACTTATCTTTTATCAGGGCCCAAAAGGCATCACATGTTTTTGAGGTCTGTAATCAGAACTAACTTGGTAGACTGGATTCATCTTTGAACAAATGTTATACATGGAATGAAGGCAGAAGTCACATTTAAACCGATATTTTAAAGGCAACTAAACCAAAATAAGTGCTGTTACCCCTTCTTTAAAAGCTTCATAAGACTAACAGTTCAGAGCTTCCAAGAAGACAACTAAAAGTAGTGAGTTTGGCAAACATTTAGAAAAACAAATGTTGACTACTATTGTGAGCAGGGGTTTCATGCAAACACAGCCACATCAACTACACAGAAAAAATACATTAGGAGAAGCACAAAAGCACTGACACTGTTAAAAGTGATGCATTCTACGTGACATTAAAGATTTGACTTAGGTGCACCTTGAAAGAACTCCTCTGATCTAACATTCCTCTGATCTGTTGCGCCGCTGCATTACACCTACCTCCTTCAGGCCGAGATTGACAAGCAGATATGCGACCAGATAATGTATCACCTCCAGGGTTAATATACCTCAGGATAATGCGAAATAAGTAGAGGTTTGATTTTTCCACATTCAAACTTATCCTCACTTCATTCTGAAAAATGAAAGTTAATAAACAAAAACAGCCATAAAGTGCTGAATAGAGGAACAGTTAGAAGCCATGCAAGCACCAGACTAAAGTCCTACAAGAAAAATGCACATGCAGACAAGTATATACTGGAATGGCAGTGCTGGTGTATGACAGAAGAAGACAGGCAAGCCTAGTGAGAAAATTAATTCACTTACAAGTGTAATTAGTGCCAAAATGTTTTCCCTCAGCAACTGAGATCTTCCCTTTAGAGCTTTTTGAGCCCAGGCTGACATAGCGGAGGACTAGGTGGAAGAGCTTAGGGGAAGCCACAGTGATAGGCACAACCACCTCTGGCTGGGAAAAATAAAAAGAAAGGGAAAAAGGAGGAATGGAAAGTATATTATTTGTTACTACCACCCAGAGAAAGAAAAAATATTTGGCAAAGACAAAAGGCTTGGGCAGCTTACAAAAGAACATAGAACGCAACCTCCTGTGAAATGAAACTCTTGGTGAATAACAGCTTATCCAGAAGGTCACAGAATGGCTGAACTAATATGTGTTGATACCAGACCTTGATACATGGACAGTATTTTACTGCTATTCTCCACACTTATGCCATAAAGGAGGCACATATGGTATCAAGGGCTGCCCGTATTCCTGCCTTCCCAAGGAACAGGCCAGAATCATTGATCCTAGTCTCAGATCACACACAATGCCCCACAGCATGCAGACACCTCAGACTGTCACTGAAACTTCTGCATCTCCACCAGATCTCGCCATTTCTTAGAAATGTGATACCATGCATGGCTCTGCCGTGGGCCTGAACTGACACCTCGAGTCACACAGCTCTCCAGCCCTCATTATTTAGTTTGCAGAGCAATAGAATCAACAGAGACATGTTCAAAGGCCAGTGATGGATTACAGAAAAAAAAAAGGATTGGTGCAACCTTAAGGGTCTGGCTTCCTTCTTTCCATTCTAAATCATAAAGCTCTCCTCATTATCCAACACCCACCAGTTTGCCCATCACAATCCACTTGCTGTCCCTTTCCAAGATGCGTTTGGAGACCCCTACCGATGTGATCCATTCTGCTTCCCCAAATGCACACAGGTTTTCTCTATTTCACACATTTGAGAACAGAACACAAAGCCTCATTTTCTCCTACTTCTAAAGGCTACAATAATTGCAAGATTGCCAGCTTCCATACATCACTCTGAATGTGTATTCCTCAGTTTTGTCATCATCACCCCAGAGACCTCCACCTTCTTAATACAAATGCAAAGCAGACAGCAAAGATAGACACACGACAGACAGCAGGGCTGAGAGATCTATGGAGACTGGATAACTGAAATATAGATGACTGCAGAAGGGCAATAGACCAGAATGAGAAATATAGAGAAGTAGAGGAAGGTTTTATAGGTGTCATTTTGAATGGAGAAGAGTGAAGTATACCACATGGATAAAACAAACACTGAGGGAACACCTGAAACATAGATACAAACAAAAAAAGAAAAGGCTAAAGAAATAACAAATATGCTTCAGGAAATTTATCAAAATGGTTTATAAACATCGATGAAAAATCTAGAAGACAGCAAAGGGAGAACAAGAAGAGATGTGTGGAATGAGATGTCAGTCCCTGGCTTCAAGCAAAGCCAGAGAATGGGCATAAATTATTCTTTGAGCTCTATCACAAACTTAGGCAACTCTGGACAGTCCTTTAAAATCTGAGCCTGACTGTCAGCTTCTCAGGCTATGCTGAAACAGCCATGTTGGCAGCACGTCAGGGCACCAGTGACCTCCGCTGAGGCCACACACAGCTTATTTATTCACACAAGGGGTTTTTAATTGTATTTAAATAGTTTTATTTTCACAAAAAGTTATTACATTAGCCTTTTGTCTGGTTGATATGGTAACACTATTTGTCTTCTGCAAAATAAATGTCAAGTGGATTATTTCAGGGTCCTGCAGGACACAGAAAGGCTACGTCAAAATTAGGAAAGTTCCTTGAAATTAAGAACATGAGACTATCAGTTGTGCAAGGATCTAGCTAAGGATGGTCTGCAGCTGGGAATTCCTTACATGAGTGAAAAGCTTTATGCAGGTAAGCAAAATAATGCAGACTTCTAGCACAATTAGATAGACAGCCCTTTCATCACCTCTGTAAAAAATGCTACTGGATAAGAAATGCAAAGAGCAGCTGAGTTAGAAAGCAGATGTTAAGAAATCACAGCTACTGGAGAGTTGCCTTCATTTATGAATGGGAAATAAATCTGAAAATCCAAATAAATGAGCTCTGAGATAAAAAGAAACCAGAAGCAAAACAACAAAAAAAGAAAGACTGAAAAATGAAAACATAAGGGAAATCACTGTGCAATGGTTATACTCTTATGTCTCAGTCTATAGTGATTCATTAGTCCTTAGACAAATGGAGGGCAGATGCAACTACACCAAAGCACTACTTCTGGATGAGTGAACAAATCCCATTTATTACTCAAATCTCTTGTTTTAAAATCCTGGCTCACTTGCTCAACAGTTCAGTCCAAAGTCAGACAGGTCCCTTGTCACACTAATTATGGTGACTTTCTTCCTGTGACTTACATTTGCTAATCCAAACAGCGAAACAGTGCCAAAGGGTTCAGATTAATGAGATCCTGTACTTTTTCTGTTTTTTTTTTCTGTGACCTTGCACACACACAGCAGTACTATGAATACAAATATGTACCATACACTTATGTTTTCACCCCAAAGCCTTGAGTGAAATACCATCTTACTTGTATAGAGGACATCTGGGCATATCCTCTCCAACTGAAGTTAGGAAATTCCCGAGGATCATAGCCAAACCGAATTTGCCTTCCCTTGACAGTAGTACCATCTTCAATCTCAAACTTCATGTGGTGCAGATCAGGAAAAAAATAGTTTTTTTCAGGCCTTCCAAGGAGAATAAGAAACAATAAACCAACAAATAATTACCAGTCGCTTAAGGTCTACATCTAAGAGGAAAAAGCAGAGGAAGGGAGGTGACCTACTGAGGACTGAGGAATCCTGAGAGCAGCTAATAAATTCAAGACAGCTGGTAAGGTGGATGCATTGAAAAATCTCTTTCCAGAAGCTTTTACAACTTCCATACACTTTCCTATATAATTCTTGATAGATATATAGATACATATGCAATACTATTGCAAAACAAGTATTGGTTATTTAAGGAAACAAGTTAAAAATTCTTATTAAAATAACAAGAAGACTGCCTAGGACAATTAATATCAATAACCAACATGATTTATCAACTTATCTATCAGCAAATCCAGAATCTCATGTGAAAGTATCCAGGGATTTATGGGCAGTTTCAAAAGAACTGTGCTGAAGCATGAACTATGAGGAGCTACAGCTGGACTCACTCCTGACAGGTTGTCCCCACGATGTGTGCTCTGCACTGGCAGCTACCTGAGGGCTCAGAGCATGCTGGGCTGAGGGATCCTCCAACGTCACACCGGCAGCCTGTCAGGCAAAGAGGAGAAGCCAAATATTCCATCAGAAAAAAAGCACTAAAAGTTATCAGGGAACACACCTCGCTTCAGCTAATTAAACACCATTAACAACTCGTTTCCTCCTTCCGGAGCCCTTCAGGCTCTTTCAAACACATCTTAATGCACATGCATAAGCTGTGATAATTTTGAGCTTCCCATGTCTGTGGCTGTATTTTTTTACTTCTTGGAATGTGAAAAAAGACACTTTAAAAAGGCCCCACAAGTAATGCACCATGCCACACTGCTAAATGCAGGTCTACAGTTTTGCAGAACAAAATTAAACATGTTAATTAAAAATGTTTAGCTAGTAACTCACAATTTCTACAGCAATATCACAAGGAATAATTATTTTAAAAAAACCCAAACAACAAAATCTAACTTACAGAAATTCTACAACATTAATTTTTTTTAGCCTGGTACCTCAATATTTAATTTATCATACAAAAATTGCAATATATGTGTTCATATAATAATGTATGCATCTTTTTAACTGACACTGGACAACAATATTGAATTGCTTTCTACAGGAGACAGAACTTGTAGCACAAACTAAAGGACATGTCTAGTAACAAGGTATAATATGTTGTACTAAGGAACAAGTATGCCAAGGCTAAACATTTCAAGCTGAACTGGAAAGCTGAACGTTCCAAACACGTATGTATGTCAGTGTAAAAGCTAAAAGCATCCTGTTTTCTAAGACATGTTAAGCACCTGTAATTAATCACGGGTAATTAAAGTATCTGACACATTTGTGAAATCAGATCCCCTTCAGTAGCTCCTTAGCATGCACATTAGACACAAAAGCTTTGATTGATACAGCAGCCATTATTTTTAACTTTGAACATATATATTTAGCAGCACTGCAATGCTTTCAAAATAAATCTCTTGCATAAACTCTGGACAGGTGTAAAACACCCTGAAGTCAGTGAAAGTGCTTTCAATAATTTTAATAAATCTAAATCTACAGCTGGGGGACAAGAAGGGGAGAGAATGCTGAAGCAGCCCTACATCACTCAAAACACATGGCAGGGTAAGTATACTTCAGAAGAAGGATCACTTTCTCCACATGACAGCTTCAAAATACATTGAGCCCTGGGCTAAACCAATATATGAATATACCTACAAAAAACCAAAAAATCAAGCTAGTATCTGTTGTACCATTTCAAGATTTTACTGCAGCAGGAGACCTTAGAAAAACGCTAAGCACAACAGGCAGTTACCACTCGTACAGGTAATGACTGCAGGAAAATCAGCCATCCCTGGCCCCACAACTTGGTAGAAGGAGTAAGAGGAGGAATGACTGTTAGTTATCTTATTTGATAACAAGCAGTGATAAATGAGCCACCAGGGAAAGTGAGGTGAAGGACAATGAACTCAAAGAGAAGCATCTTTCCTCATGTGAGCCAGCCACAAAATGACTGGAAATCACAGTGGTAACATCAGCCTTGTTCCTTCTCCCACTGGAAGGCAACAGAGGAGTTACACAGGTTACAAGCAACTACCAGCAGTAATGCAAAATGCTGTGCATGCAAGTAATTCAAGCATCCCCATTTTAAACATACGGCCTAGGGAATTCTAAAGACTTCTGTGCTAAGTCAAATGTTTTACTAGAGATATCCTTTATTCATTTTACCTTGGCAGCCAAAATAATTCCTGTTCTCGAGAGCATAATAACCAGCTTCACAAGTGTCACAGGAATCTCCACAAACATTAGATTTGCAGTAACAATGCCCATTTTCCTGTGAAGAAAACAATTCCATAAAAAAATTTCAGTACCCACTCAGAACTTGTCTTTCAATACTCTGAATTCCCTCTAATTCTAAAGTGAAAAAACTTTCCAACCTCAACAAAAAGTATTTTCTCAACATAATTTATGTCATTCATCATCCTCAATAAACAGACTAGAAAATACATAAACTCAAGAAGATGCAAAATTTCCAAAAGTTTACACACCACTAGGATGTATAAAACTGATTCTTTGCTGTATAAAACTGATTCTTTGCTGTATAAAACCAGCTGCTTTCTGTGCAAAAGCACTAATCAGTACTAAGAATTCTAACTTATGAAATGTTACAACAATTTACCTTTACAATAATCAATTTAGCTAATATCTTTGTTTTCATTTCACTTTACCTGCTGACATTCTCCTACTCCACTTAGTGTTCCACTCACATCACACTGGCATGCTGCACAGATGAAAAAAAAAAAGACACCTGTAGTTTGTCTTTTCAAGATACTTTGCAGGGAAAAAAAATCCCCCACCACCCTGAATCTGTAATTTTGAGTCATAGTGCCACAAGGTGGATTTTACTCTGGAAGGTTCAGAACAACAAACAGGTACTGGTATGAGGCGAGAAGAAAAGCAAAGGAGAAAGAATAGGGACTTCTAAGCATGTGTGATTTACTGGTGTGTTTGGAAGTGATCTAATGTATATTTGACAAAAACAGTATTGAGTTTGAATTTAAAATTGTTTTCTTTCTTAGAAACACTGAGACAACTGATGGAAAAGAGTGTCCTCCAGCCTGACTGGCACCTTCTATTCTGCAGTGCTACTTTGGGACCAGTTTGACTCTCCATACAAAATAGAAACGGATCAAATACTGCAGGAAGGAGCAATGCTGACCTAGAAGTTTGGTGAAACTCAGTATTGACTCTGTAACTGAAGACAGAGAAAATGTATTACATGAAAGGTGCAGTACTTGATATTTTAGGAATTGTTTAGTATTTAGACATCTAGAGTCACAGATGTAATGATACCAGCATCAGCTCTAAAGCTACTCATCCTACCTAGGTGGCCGTTGTGGTGGAACCTGTTGGAAAGGAAATAGTTGGAGACAATCTTGAAAGATTTTTTATCTTTACCCTTTTTAATCTTTATTATTATCTGCCTGAAAAACACACACTTGCTTTTAGAAGACATCGAAATTCACAGATTATTATGTAGACATAAACCATAACAGAGTTGTCACAACCTGAGGCCACGAGAAGGCTTTACACTCCTTTGCAAACTAGGAGATAATATAAAGTGAAAAAGCACCTTTTTCCCAAACCAATGAGCCAAATTCTGGTTTCATGCTTATAGGCAGAAATCCCCTCTCACTCCAGTACATCTGCCATAGGGCTGTATGAAGTACCCATCATTGTAACCCAGAGCACACCTTGGCTCAGCACTAGGCAAACACTCATGAAATTAAGGTCTAATTTCCAAAAGTAACTGCTGGTATCACAGATAATTTGGTGTTATAACTAAATAGCACGAAAAACATTCTGTTAACAAGAGTTGTGAAAGTCACTGAGCACCAAAGATGGTGTTAGCGAATGAAGATGACTTTAGAAAGGATTTAGCACATTTCATAAGCCAAAGAAATATGTCACAAAGCCATACCTGTACATCCCTCAGGGTTTTCTTTGGCCAGGTTCCAGTACAACGGTTTGCATTTACTACAGGTAGGACCTTCAACGTGCTGAAGACATTGACAATAGCCCTAATGACAAAGGAGCTAGTATGGGTTCATCTGTTTCATATAAAACATATTGCTCTTTACTACTAAGAAAAAACTAATATTCACATCTCAGGCAGTTTACTGACTCGGACAGATGCATGGAAACTGACACAGATTCAGACTTCTTAGATTTTTCTGTCTCATATTATCAGCACAGGATTGTTCCACCCTGCATATTTTTTCAGTATCTAATTCATTCTAAAGGACCTAACGGATGTACTTTCCAGAACTGCCTTATCAGAACTGCTCCAAAGCATTAATTGTTTTGCAAAAAAATAGTACAAAAACCCAAATTTCCTTAAAAATATTAATCAACTTTCATATTTACTCTTTCCTTTATTGGTGGAAGACACAGCTGTATACAGCCTACAAAGCCTACAAAGATATCCCTGTCATCCATCAGACTTACCCTCTAGGTCATCTTTGCTACACATTTAGCAATGACTGTGATTTCTGATAATATGCTACTACTACTAACCATCACTGTATTAATAACAATAATAGTGGAAGAGCAACAGTTACAAAGATATAATAACTTTATCAAAAAAATTTGATGTTGAAAGGGCCTGTTGCAACCCAGAACTAGAAGGTTTTTGAGACATGCATAGACTTACAGCTGCATGTATATATTAGTGCCCTAGCATACCAAGAAGACATAAACAGTATGATATTCTATATATAAAAGATTTTTAAAATCCACTCTTGACAGTAGACTGCACTGGTATGATACAACAACAAAACACAAAGTGTTATTTCCACTCTTACTCTGCAAATAGGCTCATGCAATTCTTTTACAGGCCAAGAGCAGGCTTCAGGGCTTGAGCAACGAGGTGAAAGTGTTCAGCAAAGGCACATGAATGATTAATACATACTGTTAGCTGCAAAGGTAGAATACTTACGGAGTGAGAACCAACACTACCTGAAGGGTTACATTCGCTGTTGACACCTTTATAAAATAAACACATTGAAAGATCTTTTGAAAACAGAGCTGTGGAATGTAGTAGTGCAGAAGAACAATGTAGCAGGTGTGAGCTTGAAAGGGTTTTTTCATATGGTTACCTTGGAGAGACTCAAATACTTTAAACTTCAAGACCAGCAGAAGCCTTTAATAATGATTTTTCAAATGTGTATTTAGCCTGATTTATACTATTTGGTTTTATAGGCAAAGCAGTTACTTGGAAAAACAGAGCACTAACCTACAGAACTGACAAGTTCCTGTGCCATCATCTAAAGAAAGGTTTTAATCTTACAGTTCACTTCATGAAATAACATCTAGAATGACAGATAATCTCATCTAGTATGTGATCCTGGTGTGTCCCTCCCTCTCTCCCCATGCTTCAGGGGGTTTCTATAAATCCTTGCATGCAGCAGACCACCCTGGAGAGCCCTGCAATAAAAACAGGGGCAATCTGAGTCAGAGGATTTTACCTCAGGGGCATTACCTTCGCAGTAGGGGAAACTGCTGGCAGCAGAAAGGCATCTGTCACAGCGTCGCCCTGTGATGCCTGTTCGACAGGGACACTGCCCCGATGTGGGCTCACACGTGCCATGCTGGGAGCCATCAGGAGAGCACTGACAAGCTACACAACAACAAACATAGACAGTGGTGACAGGGTTCACCCCATAGGTACCAAGCAGCAACTTTCCAAAACTTCACTGGTGTAGAGGTTTTGAATACTATTTGTCTAGAGTGTTCTTCATCTTTCCAATAAATAGCTCACAGGGCTCTCCTATAACTCACAGGGTCCTCAGCCCTGCTTGGGAGCTATGAACTTGAGATGACCTGTACCATCTGGACATGGTTTTCTTCCTCTCTTCTGGACAGAAACAGGATTATCTGGAACCATAATAAAACTATCTTCCTCAGCTTCTTTGTCCCATCCCAACAGCAGACTTAGTTTTGACTTTCTGCCTTCCTGATCTTCATATGGTTACAGAAAACATAGAGGAAATTGTCTAATTAGACCTGCACTTAAATATATGATGGTATCCCCTGCCCAGGAGGGTTAAAACTAGATGATCTTTAAGGACCTTTCCAACCCAAACCATTCTATGATTCTATGAAAAAAAGATTATAAAGTTGTATGCCCATCACACCTTTAGATCTGAGGGCAGAGGAGGCCAGAAGCAAGCTTTGAAATACAACATGCAACAGTCTTGTTCTTTCATATTCCTATATAAGGTCTTAGTTGTGCAATGATTTACAAGCACAGGGTAAAGAAGAATAATTCTACAAAAAAAAGAACAATGCTGGTACAACCCAGGGGACTAATCTTTGCTCAGAGTCTAAGGGTCAAATGGTTAATGACAATTATTTTGGTCAAGTAATAGCTAGTCTCCTAAAAAGAAATATAAAACCTGTCTGACGGTTTTTCACTGTAGTTATGGTGACCACTAACAGCAGAATTCTGAGGATATGTTCCTTCTTTAGCACTAATAATATTTTGATTTCTAGGAAAGAGCAGTCCTGTCCATGATGTACAAGTAGCTTCTGATATTAATGACAGAGCCTGCAGGCTTCCCTCCATGTGGTGTGAAAAAACTATATGCACATTCTGGGCCCGATCAGCTGATCCATATGGACAGGAAGAATTGCTGATATGATGGAAGATTTGCAGAGTCAAGCCCATCAAGAATAGGACTTATGGTGCAAGGTTGGCACATGTGAAGAGCAAACACTAATGCACTTACTTAAAAGTTTACAGGACAATGTGTCAAATATTAGAAGCCCAAACCAGTTGAAACACAGCTCATGTTCCAGAACTAAAGTGAGCCAGAACTCATAAAGGTAAATAACCACTGCCCAGCCTAAGCTTTAGATTTTATATTTCAAAAGAGAGATACTACTTCACCAAGGGCAAATGTTGCCATGCTCACATTAATCCAGCTAGCAAAAGAACAGCGATGATGTGCCAGTGTGTGCCTATCAGGAAGCCTGATCACTGCCTGGGTATTCAGAGTTATTGATGCCAGCTTTGGGTTAAACAAAACTATTGTGGTTACATAAGCAGTTTTTGATGGAAATACACTTGGGAAAATTTATTCTCTTCTGCATTGCAGAAATTAGAAGGAAAACCCCAGTAAAAGGAGGAAAAAGTTTTACTCACGGAAGCAGCTAGGATAGCTGTAATATCCTGGAGCACACTGGTCACATCTAAGTCCAGCATAGTTACTATGGCACAGACATTGACCTCTAGGACCACACGTATTCTCCACCGAGCCAACACCATCACAATTACATTCTGCACAGAGAAGAAAAAACTAACTACCCTGATAGATACATGTCTAAACCAGCAGTTATTTAAAGTAGAATTTGCCAGAAAAACTTTTGAATACAAATAAATCATGAGAAAACCAGACCAATTTAACCACCAAAACTAAATATCCTGAAATAGATGTTTATTCTGAAAATGCCTCCTCATCCATTGATAATCAGGTTCTTGCAATCCTATACTGTACAGTTTAGAGATTCAGTTTGATGCCTTGCAACACGTGTAAGGGACAGAAATTCATCTTACAACGGGAAGAATGTCACATGAGAGAAGTACTTAACATCTTTAAAAAATTACCTCTGAGAAACAGCATCCACAAAGCCTGACGAGGTCTAATGGCTAAGAAATGCATGTTAGTAATGATGAACAAGCACAAGATCATGATGCACAATGTAAAAACTGCTGACATCTTAATTCTACAAGGTGGCAAGCAGTGCATTACAGGAATCCACATGTAATACACAAAGTATGTTGTCAGGCTATAACAAAAGGCATTGTCAGACCAGAGCAACAAACTTCTCATGGTATTACAACTATTTTGGATTAATAGGTCCATCACAGACAAGATCTGCTATTTTATTGAGAAGATGCTGAATGTTACACAGTGTCACACTTCATAGGTACATGAATGGGAGCCCACCTGAGAACCTAAGCTGTTCCAGGTACAAGCTGATGTGTTATAGTTATTCACTTGGATTTTATAACTGACAGAAATGGTTGACTGACAGAAATATAAAACAAACACTCTCTTTCTGTTACGTGTTCATATTTCTGGTTCCCCCTTTTGGTTCCTCTTTCTGCTGCAGTCAGAGACATCTGACTTTGCTGTGTTTACTTTAAAGATGCTTGGAAAGACACAGGGCTTGCTAGGAAGTTAATACAAGAGAAATACAATACTGGAGCTTCCAAAAACATCACCTACACTATAGTCTACCCCTAGCTGAATATTACATTGCATTCTCTCCTGGTTTTAATACTACCATTTTATTTAAAGGCATTACTTTGATATTTGAATAAAGCTTTTATGGAGTTCAACAAGGCAAGACCAGAGAGATCAGTTCTAGCTGCACCAGCCCAAAAGTTATAGATCTGTGTCTCTTTTGAAGAGATAACTCTGAACAGGAGTAGCAGGCTGGGATGCTCACTTTCCACCACAGTTTGCAGCATGATGCACTAATTTAAGTTTAAACCCATGGCACCTTATTTTAACTGAACAACCTGTGAACTGCAGCAGTTCTGAGTAATCTCACTGCCTGTGTTTTCAGCTATTTTTATCTGTCTTTTACGATTTGTTTTTGCATGCTCTTTTAAGCTTTTATGTCTCTTTTCAGCTTTTGGTGTTCAAAGATCAAACATATTCAATACGGGTTTGATTTGCTTTAAGACTGCTACTTGATTCTGTTCTAAGAAAAAATAAATGGTTATTTTAAACCCACGGAACAGTGTGTACCAACAGAGAATTATGATTTTATGTTTTTCATTAAAAATGTTCATCTACTCCAGACCATAAAAACCACAGACATGTGGTATTTCTTTATTCCACCCGTTGTGTTTGGTAACAGAACATACTATATCTTCACAAGGTGCTGTACTTTAACCCCAGCTAGTACCTAGGCACATGAAGCCATTCATGCCCCACCCATAAGATGGGGAGAAGAATTGGGAAAAAAGGTAAAACACAGACCTGTACACATTACTAGGAAGAAAATTAACTCTATCCAAGCTGAAATCAGGACACGAGAGCATAAAGAATTCTGCTGTACATTCATAGGAGATAAACAAGTGTATAAGCCTAAAAGAAGCAGACTGACATAGCCAACAAGCAAAAATAACAAAGTAGAGGGAAGTAAATCATAATGTTCGACATAAATCTTGCTAATATGTACAGGAAAGCACAAGCCAGAACTCAGCAATATCCTATATTCTTTCTCAATGTAAAATTCACTAAGGATTAAGGGCCCCCCTCTCACTCACTACAAAGGCAGATGAAACACGGGGGCCAAGTAGGGCGTGATGAAGTCCTCACGCACACAAGACCATTATGATACACAAAAGTTATATTCCACTGATTTCTCTCTCTTGTAAAAAATCAGGTTAGTCCTCAACGTACCACATGGGGAAACCCCACAGAGATCTTTCATGTTTTATGGTTACATGGACAGAGTTGGGTTGGTGTCTGTCAGATGATCTTAAAATGAGTGAGAAATCACCATGAAGGGCAAAATGGGAGCTTCTTATTTTCAGATCTACAGAACACACATTTCACAAGGTACCAATCAGAGACCCCCTGCAGAAGTAGATCAGTGCTTCACAGCTCTGCTGTGACAGTCCCTTAGCAGTCAAGAGTACCCCATTGCTGTGGGTCCCAATGTGAGAATAGCCTTCAAATCCATTGGTTAATAGTAAGACAGCTGTGCTGACTGACAGTACATCAAACAGGCTGACCATGTGGGGGGAAAAAAAAGCCAGTGAGGAAACAAACTATAAAATTCTTCCCTACTATGGAAACACACCTGAAATTGGAGAATTAGAATATATGAGGATTTCATTGTAAAGCACAAGAGTGCCTTGCCCATTTACTGCTGTGAACATTGCTTTGGCCACTGCAAAAAATGGTACCCAAAAGGCACTGTCTGCCTTTTCAGGGCCCTGTTTGATGCTGTACATGCAACCAGCAGCCTTACCTTGACAGGCAGGGAATGAGTGGTGGCCAGGCTGGCAGCTGTCACAATGATGTCCTGTTACCCCTGAGCGACAAAGACACTGCCCAAGAAAATCACAGACTTCAGGCCGGGTACCCACCAAGTTACACTCACACACTGCAAACAAGAGCAGGTATTTCAGAAGCAGCCTCTGCACAGGTTCTTTTATCTTTCTTGAAATTAAAATGATATTATAAAAAAACGTAAAAGCAACTCCCTGATGCTCAACAAGACCAAAATTTTCCCATCTGATTTACTTTTACTCATAACAGCTTTTATTGATTGCCCACATCAGTAGTAATTTAGCATCAAGGGAAACATTAATGAAAGAGCAAAGGAAGCTGGCTCAAAGTACTGGGTTCAATATCACTGTTAAAGCACTACACTTGGCCTGTCCCTACTCAGAGTCTGTGATTTATTGATCCCAAGTGGTATGCCAACTATCGAAAGCAGTTCCATCCCTTTTAGGACTAAAATGAAACAATTTATGGTTTGGATTTACAATCTCAGGTGGGAGTGGTTAATAAAACGCCTAAAAAGACAGTACAGAAGATGATTATTAAAGTTTAAAAACAGTCAGTTTTCTAGTAATGATTAGAAAGGGTAGCTCAGTGCATCAGTGAGGTTGCAAAGTGAAATTAAACACAATTTTTTTTTTACAATTCACAAGGATAAGTAACAGAAATGTTCCCAAGGTATTTTAAATTTCATCAATGTTAGTAAATCCAACTCCAAACTGGCGTCTGGCAGCTGCATCACGCAGAATGAAGGAAATGAACACTTTTAGATCGCAATCTCCCCTCATCACAGTTCTCTTTGTCTTTGACTTGTGTGAATTTTGGGAAAGCCCCTTATCAACACATCTCCATGGCAAAAGAATTTCATCCTTCGGTATAAAACTTGGGGCAGTGTTTTGGCTATACTTGCCAAAAAGGAATGTTTGGCTTACCCTGGCAGAAGGGGTACTGAAAATATCCAGCTGCACAGGTATCACAGGAATAACCCCCAAATCCAGTTCGACATCTGCACTGCCCAGTATTTCCATCGCAGTCGCCACCCAGCACTCCTGCGCCATGGCACTGGCATGCTGAAGAGCACATTTGTGAAGAAAATATTTGCAGCATTAGGATCTTAAAGTTCTTATTTCCCTTGGAAGCCAGAGGGAGGCATTTACTCCGGAGCACAGACTCCAAGCATCAAAGAAACTACTTACGCAGGCACTGGGGGCCAAAATACCCTGGTTTGCAGCCACCTTCTAGGTACAAGAGGAAAGGAAAAAAGGTAAGGAACAAGGTTAGTGCATAAAATCATGCAATTCCTTGTAATTTTGCAAAGAAACACAGTTCAGTGCTTAACAATTACTACTCTTAAACTGAGAAGACTATTTGTACAATCCTTACACATAAACCTCATTTTAAAACCCAATAATCTGAAATTGTGCTTAATCTGCCAGCACAAATTGACAACCTCTACACAGAAGCTTCCACTTAGAGGCAGCTGCCTTTCTTACGCCTTCAGATGCTGTTCATTGAGAACGTAAATAGCTCAAGATCTGTTTTCTCCCATCATATTTCTTAATTTTTCTTGCGTTTTCTTTCTTCTTCCTTTTAAAGACTTGTGAGAGAAGGGGATATGCAACAGACCCTAACCAGAGGCCTACCAGGGCAAATATTTTGGATGCTGTACCAAGGAGATGAGGGGCACAGGAGACTGAGGCTTTGTGGGCTATGATGACAACTGGAGACACTTTCAAGAAAACAACTGGGACTTGTAAATACATACATGGATTTGTACTGTCTGCTTATAGCTAAGTGTCTCCTACATTCACAGAGGAAAACACTTTTTCGTTTGCCAACATAAACTCCATTTCTAATAAAGCAAACAGAAATACAGGTAAGAATGTTGGTCTTTGGATATGGAAAAAGTTTCAAGTTTTTTCAGGTTATTAATCCTGAAGGGCATTACAAGTGTGTGTCTGACTAAGCACTAGCTGTGATGATGTCTCCATACTGCAGTAAAATAATATATGCAAAAAATATAAGGCCACTGAGGGAACCATTGTATAGACTTCAGCCAGCTTTGCAGTTGGCTAAATAAGAAACAGGTAGCTCTCAAAAATCCAAGTCCTTCACTGTCCATGGCAAGGTACAATTGGCCAGGTGAAGAAGGACAGTCCAGAAGCAGAGGCCAGTTAACATTAAAAAAGAGATTTACACTGCAAAGCAGCAGTTGTTGTGTCAGAAAGTTGTACATGCCAGAAAGTCTTGATGGATCTGTTCATAAAAGCACCAAAGAAGATGGTCAACCCCTCCTGCAGATGTCTGCCAGAGGCTGGTCAAAGTTATTTTGATCCATAACTCTTTCTGGAACCAGTTCACTAAACTGTTTAATACCAACATGACAATATGATGAACTTCTGGCAAGAACAAAGGTTCTCTGAAGGATAAATACCAACAGTGGCAAAATTACTACATAAATCTCCATGAAAGACCAACCTAAATGATTCTATGATTCTACAAAAGAGCAGGCACACCACTGAAACAGTGAAAAACAGTAACATGGGGGAAAACAGTGAAATGGGGAAAAAATACTTAGAACTTGCCTATTATATCACCAGCCACATCATCTCTCGGAATTGGAGAAGTAAAAGGATATACAGGAGTATCTTTTAAACAAAAGAAACAATGAGGTGTATTAGAAACAGACACATTAATTTCATTAAAAATCATGACAAACAATGAAGCATCTCCTGTCAATTCTGATATGATATTCACATGACTCTACCAATCAACTTCAGCTTAGGATTTTTTCATTTAGGAACAGCATAAGAAATATTTTACTTTTGATTTCCAATTCAGGTAGAAATTTCCCTTCTCAAAAGAACAGTATAAAAGTCCAGATACCATCTGAAAATGCCACCAAGTTGCTTTCCTGCTCCCTGTCCTTCTGTGCAGATAGTTTTTTTTATGCTAGAGAGTGTTATGAGAGCTATCTATTGAGCTTCATGTTTATTTCACATTTCCTGCTTCCACTTGAATGTCCATTGCCTTCTATGTGGACTGCCAGAATTCATGACATGTACAGTACACCTTTGGAGCTTTTATTTGAGACTCCTCCAGATAGTTGGAATGTTCTTCCCATTCCTAAACATTCCTGATGCTTTAACATCCAAAGTCAATGAGCTAAAAACATCAGTCGGACTTAGATCAATGTCTACCTGAGCTGAACTTTTTCAAAATGCTGGATTTCAATCAAGAGGATATATGATAACCTGGCATGCACTGTACAGCCTGGATTTGTTCTATCACAGCAGTTGAATTCAAACAACATTCATTTTCTAAAGTTTTTTCCTCTGTTTGCAATTGTTTTCCCTTTTCATGAGCTAAAAACATCAGTCGGACTTAGATCAATGTCTACCTGAGCTGAACTTTTTCAAAATGCTGGATTTCAATCAAGAGGATATATGATAACCTGGCATGCACTGTACAGCCTGGATTTGTTCTATCACAGCAGTTGAATTCAAACAACATTCATTTTCTAAAGTTTTTTCCTCTGTTTGCAATTGTTTTCCCTTTTCTTGTACTGTTACGAGTAAGGAATTAAAGAATACCTTGCCTTTCTAAAACACTGTTAAGGCAACAAAAGGGACTTGCCCTAAGATAAGATGCATTAGCAACCACAATGACAACTTCAGATAAGCACAAAAGTGATGAGTTTGCACTAATTCCAGGCATGGCAGAAGTGAGATCTGGTTAGCACATCCTGATTAATGTATCTGGACAAAAATTCCCACTGTAGCACAATATATACATATGTCACCGACCAAACAAATATCACCCCAAGTTATAGGACAGGTGGTATTTGCGACTACTGAACCCCCACCCTGAGGAAGCATGCAAATGAAGGCACACCCATCCTAGCTTCACATGCAAACTAGGAATACACCTCCATGGATACCCAGAATTTGGACTGTATAAAGGTGGCACTCCCAGATGAACAACTGGGGACCTCCCCCCACCAGAAGAATGACTTGGGACCTCCACCACTGAGAAGATCAGGGTGCAGAAGGACCAATGAGACACCACTGGATCCACAGATGGTGACTATCTCTCTCTCACTCTCCCCCCTGCTCTTGCCTATTTGTTTCTAACTCTCTACCTCACATTTATTATTAAATAAACCCCATATTGTTATATGAATGTATTATTGACTTGGGCATATGATCCCATTTGCACCTTAATTGTGGCAGGCGCCTCTTACTAATCAGATTGTAACATCAGCATAGTACCTCTCTTTTAGTTAGACCTCAAGCCTTGCCCTAGAACACCTGTTTTATCAGTTGTCAGAAACACACTTCTTTCTCCTGAGGGCACAAAACATTCCACCGATGCCTTTTATAATCTCTGCATGGAGTCACAAGCTTTTACGCAGAAAATACAATCCTGACATTAAATTTTCTGCTTAATTGTTTTATACAAAATTCATTCATGGGAAAAGCAAGATGAGCAAGTTCCTAATCCTAAGAGGTGTCAAAGAGAACACATATCCATTTTCTCCCTTCTCTCTCATTACAGTCATGTTCTACTGCCCAATCCAAGTGGTCTTTACACCTAAAGACCCTAAGACATTTAAACAGTTTGTCCAGGACTTTAGGACTGGAGTTCCTGACTTACTGAGATAGGCTGTAGACCTGATGTCTTAAATGAACCCAGAATTGTGAGAATGCAGCACAATCTCTTTGATTTTTCAAGTCACCATTGTTTTGTTAAATAAACCAGACTCTCTTTCATACTATGACAACTGATTTATCAGAACATGTAAACGTGAAGCAGAAATGCCAGACGTTTTTAACCAAGTCAAATGTAATTAAAATTGTTAATTCTTTAACGCACATTTAAAATACAGAAAAAGAGGCATTTTTACTTGTATACTTACAGACACAAAATGGATAACCATAGAATCCATCGGCACAGCGTTCACAGTTTTCTCCCTGGAAATTCTGCTTACAGAAGCAGCGGCCAGACCCTTCCTCACAGCCCTCTGCATGCTCCAAGTTACAACTGCAGGCTAAGTAAGTATCAGAAATTAGCCACTCTTTGAAAAAATAATTAATTTGCCTTCTCCAGCAGTGCACAATGGCACTGTAATAGTATATTTGCAGTTGCGAATGCCTCATTATTTAAGGAATTAACATTTGCATGCTGGTACATAAATCCCAAGTACTTCATATCACCAACATATCCCTTAGAAGCAAGCCCTGTGCTATTAGTGTTTAGGTGTTTCTAAATTCAGAAAGCTGCATGTTGTTACTCTACAGCACTGCAGCATCTACCTTCTCTGTGGGAATCGCTCATCTCTCTCCACGGTCTAGACAAGGCACCATGCTCCATCCACCTTCCCTTATACAACACATGCAACATTATGGCCACGGCTCAGTTGATTTCCCATTCATTTCAATACCCAAACACAACATAGCTCTAGTCTCATGGCTCCTTCAGCCTGTGTGTAATCCAACCCTTATCTCTTACCTATACTCAATTCTTTTTAAAATGTTCTGTTAGTAGTTATTCAATTGCATCACCTACTAGTCGATAGATTCAGCACTGCATAAAATCAGAGTAGCTATCCTTGTGACGTTTTGAGCCATAGAATACATTTTTTAAGTGTCCGAAAGACAAAGGATATCTTGCATGCACATCAGAGAGCCAAGAGAAGCAAGATCATGAGAAGAGGAGATGAGAGTGGCCTCCTAGAGGTCCTGAGGTCCTCCTCACTATGGGGTGTGTAGCAGCACCCCAGACTTACGTGATCCTCTCTCCCTATTAGCCTTTTCTGGTTTACTTTTTCCTAATGTCCTGCTGCTGGTCTGAAGCTTTATGCTCATATGAGAAGAATATAATTTAAAAGGTCTAAAGCAACCCAGAAAGTAATTTGCAGCTGCTCTCCAATACCTTTTGGCCACTTCTTCATTTTTCCTCCCCAAAAGACGCAGCCTATGTTTTTATTATATCTAAAAAAAACCTAAGCCACCACCACGAGAAGATACTCCACAGAGAAGGACTCACGTATACAGCCATCAGCAGCTCTCACCGGGACACCGTAAGGACGATAGTAACCTTTTGCACATTTCTCACAGTTAATACCAGCTGTGTTATGCTGTGCAAAATAAAACAAAAGGAGAATATGAGATAAAAAGAGGAACTTGGAAGAATTAAGAAACAATAACATCCTTTACACTGTTTCTATATACAGCTAAGAAAGGATCAGCAAAAAAAATGCAATCAGGATTAGGAAAAAAATGGAATATGACTGCAATAAAGACAGTATTAACCATGTGGCGTTCTTTAACCACCTATTCTTTACAGGCTTCTGAATCATGGTATTCTTGCATAAAGCAGCTGAATTATATCTTCAAAGCGTTATTTCAAAAAGAACTACTAAAAATCTATGGAAAAAAATAATCTTTTTCTATTCCATGATTATCTGTTTTCATGTTACTTTCTTACCATAATGTATATAGTGTTCAAGCAACTGCATCATGGATTCTTCCTCATAGTATATATTAATTTTTCTAATACCCCATGTGTAAAATCAGCAATATCAAAATAAACCAAAACCTGATCAGTCTGGTCAGCACAGAACAGGTTGCCCAGGGAGGTAATGGATGCCCCAGCCCTGGCAGTGTTCAAAGCCAGGTTGGATGAAGCCTTGAGCAACCTGGTCTAGTGGGAGGTGTCCCTGCCCATGGCAGGGGGTTGGGGCTAGATGATCTATAAGGTCCATTCCAACTCCTAAAATTCTATGACTCTATGAGTTTCCATCAGAAAAAGTACATTTCTCTGTAAGTATGTTTTTGGCACACAGAAGAAAAAAACCCTAAGTAATTTGAACTACAGAAAAAATATGCAACTGCCCTGTGAACACAGTCCTGAGTGTATTTCAACTTGTGCAGTAAAGCTCTCTCCTGCAGTGGGGCAGCAGGGGCATGCAGCAGTTATGGCAAGTACCAGATGAGTACATCACAGTCACAAGGCATCCTGGCAAACTCACAGGCACATGAGCAGGGAACCAGAGCAGGAAGCTTTTCTCTGGAGCAAACAAAGCAGTTTCCCCCAGCTCCCATTTGCTGTTTAGTTCCTCTTTAGGGAGTGGTGCAATTCAGGGCTCAGCAGGGAGGCAGCATTTACTGGAGGGGCTGGTGGGCCTTTCATGAGCAGGGCACCAAGGACACTGCACATTCTTTAGAGACTACATCAGAGGCCCCAGCCCAGACAGAGCTTCAGGAGGAGGATGTCACTGTCCAAGACTGGGTCTGGAGAGAGTGCCTGGGCCTCTCCTTAAGACTTGGGGCAAGATCATTAACCTGTGCAGAGCCTGACAGTAAGGATCAGAGGACAGACCAGCACAGCTGATACTGCAGTAGATGTCTGTGTTAGACCACCTGAACCAGAAGGCAAGTGAAGACTTCTTTAGGGAACTAGAGAAAGCTTTGGTACTCGCAGATAATTTTAATCACCTTGGTATCTTCTGGAAGGGCAATGCAGCACGGTGCAAACATTCCAGAAGTTATTCTGAATGCATCAAAGACAATTTCTGATGTAGAGGTTCATGAATCACTTAGGGGAGATGCTCTGTCCTGACACCCACTAACAAGGAAGAACACGTGAAGCTGAGGCCAGTGTTGGCTGCAGTGACCCCAAGACTGTGGATTTTAAGATTCTGAGACTAGTAAGCAAGACAAATAGCAGAATTACAGTCCTGGGCTTCAGAAAATTAGATTTTGGCTTGTTCAGATATCTGCTTGGCAAGACCCCGTGTGAAACTGCCCTGGAGGGAAAAGGGGACCAAGAGAGCTAGTTGATTCTCATGGACAGCCTCCTTAACAGAGGAACAGTTCTTTCCCAGTATGGTAGAAGGCCATCACAGATAATTATGCAGCTCTTGACTGATCTCAAACTCAAAAAAATGTATGTGGAAGATGGAAGCAGGGACAAGATACTTGGTGGCAATACAAAGACATTCCCCAAACATGCAGGAGTGGAATTAGGAAAGTTGAAGCTTAGCTAGAGTTAAAACTAGCAAGGAAGGTGAAATGCTAAAAGAAAGGTTTCTAGGAGCACAGCAGCAGCAAAAGAAAAGCCAGTGAGAATGGGGGCCAATTGCTCAAGGGGAAGGAGATCAAGTGAACAAATTTTCTTAGGGCACACAAAGGACAGGAAGGTGATGGGACATATTCAACATATCTTGCCTAGGGCAAAGTATGCCCAATCAATCTCATTGATCTCTCTGATAAGATGACTGGTACTGTGGGCAGACCCACCAAGATGATGAGGGACTGAAGCACATGACATTCAAGAAGACACTGAGACAACTGGGTTTCTTTAGCATTAAGAAGTGTGAATTTATTGCTATCTACAGCTACCTGATCTGAGAATACAGAGAGAATGGACCCAGGCTGTTATCAGAGGTGTACAGCAATAGGATGAGATACAACTGGCACAAATTGGAACATGGAAAATTTCAATTTGGTATCAGGGAAAAAAATCATCATGAAGGCAGTCAAAGACTGAAACAGGTTGCAATGAGAGGTTGCAGCATCCCAGTCTTTGGAGGTGCTCAAGGCTTGGATGAACAAGTCCCAGAGCAACCTGATCTAATTAGACCTGCTCTTCAGTAGGGACTTGGACTATGTGATTTCCAGAGCTCCCTTGTTATCACACTCTAAAGAAACTGAATCTATCTTTGAATGCAACATTTCAATTCTATCACTTCTTGGTTCAAGCATCCATTCCTAAGACCTTTTTTTTTCCCGGCACAAGTAAAAAAAAAAATAATTAATATCCATATTTTTCATTCATTAAAAAAATTAAATAGATCATTAGGTCAATTCATTTAATCCAACATAACTTCCACATAATTAGTTATGAACAACTCATATCAGTCATATAATCAGGACTCATAGATTTTGACTGATTTTGCTCTTTTATCCCCTGTAAGCAATATAAAAGGAATGCTCATTCATGAACAAAGAGCTGACAGTAAGGACCAAAATGATCAATCCTACTAGACTGCATGACTAAAGTTCTGCACAGAAATGTCAACTGGAAGACAAAAAACATTTCCACTGCTCAGGCTAGTAAAAATAACTCTACTCTCTTCTGACTTCCTTTTGGACAATATCTGATTATATCGTGGCTATAAGATGGAAAACATACCCTATAAATTTAACCTGATATTTCTATTTTATTGTTGTTGCTTAAATAGACCTCTATTTTTAAATGCAGAGCATGACAATACATAAATCATGATGCATGGGTTTCATAGGAGCATAGACTCGATAATCATTTTCCTGTAATGCAACGTTCTGGTCAGCTGCTTGTCACCACACATCATACATCAGATGACTTGACAACAAAAGGAAGACAGATTTCCAAATCAGTCTGGGTGTATTTAACCATGAGATAACTGAACCAATGAATAACTCAGGGACCTCAGGAGGTCAGGTCCCACTCAAAGCAAAGATAAATCCAAGATTAGATCAAGCTGATCAGAGCCCTGTATGGTCTTTCCTTATAGTAATTAGCCAGAGTAGAACAAAAGTTACTCAGGATGAGAGACACTTTTTCCAAGAATGTGTTATCCATTTATGACAGATACAGTGTAAAGTGTCTGATTCCAAATTTACATCTGTTGATTCAATCCAACCGAGTCTCCAAGACAGTTTGTGGGGTTTGCATGATGTGTTAGGAGAAACTGAGCAAATGCCTTTGGCTGGTTTAGAGAAGAGATGTTCAAGGAGGGTAGAGGTGCCTAATGGCAGTTTCCCTCTACCTAAGAGGGGGTTACACAAAAGACAGAGCCAGCTCCTCAGACATGGACAGCAAAAGGACAAGAGCCAAGTGTCACAAGTTGCAGCTGGGAAAATTCCTACTGAACAGTAACAAAAATCTCTTTACCATGTGCGTGATTAAGTGCTGTAAAAGATTACCCAGAGTCCATGTAATGTGCACCCTTGGAAATTTTCAGAACTCAACTGGGTATTTCTCAGTGCAACCAGATATAATTTTGCAGCTAGCTTTGGTTTGAGCGGAGCACTAGTCTAGATGATTTCCAGAGGTCCCTTCTATTACTCTGTGCTTTTCCAATACCTGTATGTTTCCATCTTGGTATAGTCTATATCCTCCTTTACTTCTGCTGATGAGGGAGAGCCCTCTGTATTTTGCTGTAGTAAGGAACCAGCTGTCCTGAGCTGGCATTTTATTTGGTTATTTTTACTTCCTTCTGTTAAGCAGCATAACAGCAGAGTTTGTAATAACAGGAAAGGGAAATTTTTTAGTTGATTTACTTGTTTCATTGTGTGCTTTTATTTGAATCACACAGGACTGAGCATAAGTACAATTTGTATGGGTCTTTTACACATTAACAAGTAATATTGCACAATGTAAATTATTTTCAGGCACCTTCTCCCATGCCTTGAGAACAAGTAACACCACCAGGGAAATGCGTCTTTCTAGGCTGGTGAGCCCCAAAACTATTGGTGTGGACACAGCTCCAACTTGGTAGCCCTCCTTCAAATGTCATTTTTTTAAACTGATCAAAATGACCTTTTTACCTGGCAGTTAATGCAGACTCCTCCACCTTCATAATGCCCATGAATGTTTAAGCTTTCTCGACGCCGATCAACATCAGCATCATAGTAGCAATCAGTGGCATGTCCATGGCAATTGCAGGCTGAAAAAGTAATATTCCAAGTCAGCTTTCTTTATAATGCTGGAATTTACTAATGTAGTAGAGGTGAAAAAGAAGCTTAGATTTTTTTGCGTGCACATAAGCTCAGGGATGTTGGAGTATGCTCAAAGGCACAAATTTACTTATCAACAACAGGATTTTCATACCAGAAACATCGTACAGTCATATAGACGTGAAGAAAACGTGCTTCTAAGGCTTATCAGAGGAGACAACAGTTGTACCATCTCAAAACTTTTTAGTTCTGCATAAACACAGAACTAGGGAGCTCCAGAAGAATGGTCCAGAGCAAAGGGTGATGGATTTACCCAGAAGATAATTTATCCAGCTTCCTACAGATCAGCTATTTGTATCGCATCTTAGTTAAAACTAATCCCTTCCCACTGGTCATGCCTGTCTTCACTGAAATCTTCCAGAACTATAATTCTGAGTAGTAATCAACCATAAGGGCAAGCAGACAGAATAAATCAAAGAGCATGGCCATGGTTTTACCATAAACTTATCCCATGTCTTTTTTTTTCTGATCTGATCTTCTTCCTCACTGGAGAGGAACAATGGAAGTTGTTCTTAAAAAGTTCTTAAGAAAAAATGCAGGAAGCAAAAAAATGCTTTCCCAAGAATTTGGGTGCTAGTTAAGCTTGTAAGCACTCCAGGGAAACCTTCCCAGGAAATTCCTGAAGTTTTGACTCGACAAAGCTATTACTTCATGTTTAGGGAAACCCTCCCTTCATTTGGACCAGGGGATACAATACTCTGGAAGGCATTAGGTTCTTCAAAGCACCTCAAAACAGAAGTTAAGGGCCCTGGACCTACTTTCTTCACTATGAGGGAAGCATATAGGAGGTAATCCTTCCAAACTCTATTCCAGGTACCTGACACAACTGGGAGCACAACTGGAGGACAACTGATTCTCCATGCCTTGCTATATGATCATACAGACAAGAGAAGGGAAACTGGATCACTCTCTGTATCTTCTCTGTCTTTATATCTGAACAGCTGTGGACAAGGAAACCTCTTCTCAGAAACTCTCAACCACACAGCTGAGGGGATGCCCTGCCACCAGGTTCCCTTATGGTCAGCTGACAGGAACCAGATAGGTTAAGACTGGGTTCCCTGGCCAGGCTGTAATAGCCTATGAAGATCTTTGGGTTTTTTATTCAAGTAATTCTTCAAGAAAATAAAACAATGCATAAATGAGATGCTAGCTCAAGATATTAAGTTAGAGAAGGAAAAAAGAGAATATTTTATATATATACATAATTACAAAGTAAATAAAAGCTCCCCTGCCTCTAGGGCCAAACCGTCTGTGAGCTACAGATCACAATTATATGTTCTATCAGCAATGGGAAATTATTTGCTCTGGTTATAGCAATAGCATTTTTGTTCACAGGGGAATAGAAACTCATTCTACCTTATCAACCACCTTTTCACCACTTTGGGCCATTTGCTGACCCATACAGAACCAGGAAACACAGCAAAATGTTGGGCTGATCCCTACAAGCTCCTACCGACCTCTTTCATCAGTTTCTCTCAAGGAATCTCAGGCTTCTGGAAAGTTTAATGAGGTTGCTTTAATTCCTTCACTACTGCCTGCCAGGAAAAGAGGTCTGCACCTGGCAAACACTCTCAACAAATCACCTCAAACTGCTAGGAGCAATCCATACCAAAAAGAACATTTTTTCAGAGGCAGTTAGAAATGAAGTTGTTTTGGCTCAGAATCTTGTAGATGATCTTATATAAACTCATTCTTTAAAAGAGATGACATTATTTATGTTCTTTGTCTATCTCTTTTCTGGCAGAAAATGTTTTCCTTTCAAAGAGGGGAATTTAAATGAGGATTCAAATATTGTTCTAAGATTGTGTCTCAACATGCCTCCCTCCTATCAAACATTTTAATCACATACAACCTCCCCCTCCCCTCCCAAGACTTAGTACTGCAGTTTTGATTAAACAAGTCATCTCTTTATTCCTCAGACTAATTATATAGGTGCATCTCTGACTTTCAAATAAGGATCCCCTGCTAATCGTTTGCACCCACTGGCTATGCAACTCTCAGGAAAGACAGATGAGAAAAATAAATTGGGCCAGACACAAAGGAAACGGTTGTGCACGGAGATGGCAACACTTTCTAAACCACACTCCCTGGTCTGTGGCCAGAGGGATGCAAAACACCCACATGTGACAGTAGATACCTATTGCCAAAAGAAGGTCGATGCCATCGCTTTCATTAACAAAAACACACAAGAAGTGGGAGAAAGGCAAATGAATGGGCTTCTCCAGCTTGAATACTCAGTCTGTGGAGCTAACACACTCTGAACTCCCAACTACAGGCATGGGAAGAGGTGCAAATTTGGAACTGCTGTCACTCCCCACCAGGAATGCATTTGTGCCCACTGACATAGAGGGGCAACTGCCAGCATGAAAATGGAGAGAAGCTCAAGCGCCTGCAGGCAGTGGCAGCCTTGAGCAATCTCTCTGGAATATGAACCCCAAGATGCTGCGTGATGGTGAGGCAATGAAGTTGTACAAAATGCCTATAGTCTCTGCTCTGCTGGAGGGATGCACAGTCTGTTAGCAGACAGCTATGACTGCGCAGAGATGTTGACTTAATGTACTAGAAAAAGGCTTCCACTTTTCTCACTTCATACTCTCACACAGATTAGTATTTTCACTGTTTAATGAGAAAGAAGAACATAAATAATATTCACTTCATTATCTATTCCTTATTCATAGAATCATAGAATCATAGAATTTAGGGGTTGGAATGGACCTTACAGATCCTCTAGTCCCAACCCTCCCTGCCATGAGTCGGGACACCTCCTCACTAGACCAGGTTGCACAAGGCTTCATCCAGCCTGGCCTTGAACACTGCCACCACACATCCGTGGGCAACCTGTTCCAATGTCTCACCAATTTATTGCTATATGGAAAGCAAAAAAGGTGTTAAAACATGCAGCGTGCTATTTATGTCCCATGAACATGTGTGCTACAGCTAATTCCTACCCTCTTGTCAATGCCCCTTTTAACCCAGTATCTTTTTGGCCACTCACGTTCACATATGTTTGTGCTCCCAGCTGTTGCAGGTTGCCACTGTTTCTGATTATATCCAGGGCAGCAGTGATCACAGGTTTCCCCACAAGTGTTATGCTGACATTCACATTGAAACCTGCAGAAATGAAAGCCTCTTAATGAAGCTGGGTTTAAAGTTTCTTTCTTGATTTTTTTAATAACAATTTTTCTCTTAATTTTACTGCAGTCCAAGATTTATACATGGTGTGAAAAGGACAGGATATAAGCTCACATGTAAAGAGGCCAATCAGCAATACTAGAACATGTTGGAATATGTTGGAACTCTCCTAAAATTCTTCAAGATTGATTACTTTAATCATGTGATTATGAGTTTATTAGAACAGATTACTTATACAGTACATCTTTAATTGGATTCAATGGACTGGATTATGAAACTATCCTAGAATATTAAATCAAGATGATATATAACAGTTTGGGATGTATGCTATTTTAGCTTCATTCAAAGACTCAATCTTCTTGACCTACAGTAAATCAAAATATTTATCAGCTTTATATGCACAGCTTCATAATTTTTTCATTATGCTTTGTTTTCAATAATTTTATCAGTGTTTTTAATAAACCAAGATCCTAACTTCATCTTATTTTTTTTAAAATAGTGCGCACTATTCATCAAGGAAATGTAGTTGTTTAGGTTTTTTTATTTAGCTGAAAAACCTACTTAAAAGAGCAGGCTCTAATTATGGGCTAGGTCTTACTATCACACATAGTAACTGAACCCCAGGAGGAACAAAGACCTTGAGACTGGAGAGGCCTTTTCCAATGTTTCTCTCTTATCTGGGTAGTCTAATACTGAAGGGCAATAAAATTTTTAGATTCTCACCTTCTTTATTTACTTTTCTCTAGCACAGATATCTGGAATGAAGGCACTCATCGCACCCACTTACTCTTCATTAAAACACAACTGAAAATATTGCATTGTCCTGATACAAGTTTGTTTTAATGCCATCATGGATGAGAGCTTTATACCAAGTTTTTAAAACATGTTTTAGACAACCTAATTAGTCATAGTCACTTCCCTATAGCAGGCAAGCCAAGAAGCCTGATCTAACTCCCTGTGAAATCAGTGTGGAGATCACAAAGTTGTCAAGGAAAAGGAATAGTTCACTTGGTTTTTTTCATTTTTTTATAATAATGATCTAAAGCCACTGGATCTTGGCTGAGCTCAGTTATAATGCTCAATACATCCATGAAGTTCACTGATTTTGTTCCTGAGTCGGAATTCTAATTTCTGCTGTATGAAGGTGATATCAACTCCTGTTTTCCAAAGGGAACTAAGAGTTTCCATGAAATTATTCAATATGCCAAACTCATATTTCAATTAAAATGAAAATTCTAAGTAAAGACTTTTTTATTATATTTATTTTATTCTATTTTTTGCAGTAGTTTGACATGTTTTCTTGTCAACCATTATCAGATTCTACTTTTTTTACTATAATTAAAAAATCCCTGTAAGACTATATAATACTATAATTAAAAAGGCCATTGGAAAACATTCATGTATTGTTTTTCTCAAAATAATGTTATGCTCCATTTACTTACTGATATTGGTTTTCAGCACTCTTTGCATTACATACTTCAGCATGGCCATGGCAAACACATCGACCACCGATACTGATGTCCTTTATGCTGTAGTAATACTGTGGAACAAGCACAAGAAGTATGTATAGGCATTTCCTTGCTTGTATTATGTCAGAAATATCAACATCAGCTTGCCAAAATCTTGCTTATTAGAACTTTAAGGGCACAACTTTACAAAAAGCTGAATCAGGCAGACAATAATCAACCCTCTGTTAATGTTGATGTCTCATTGTAATTACCAGCAAATCAAAGTCAATACTCACAGGATGCCCGACAGCAACCGGCTTGTGCAGTTCACACCAAATGGATGTGGCTGTAGCTCTCCATTCCCCAGGAGCTACACAGGCACCAGTACCCAAGCCCAAAGCTTGTTCAAAGCCAGCTTGAGGGTGGAGATGTAAAGTACTGTCAACTTATCAGTTTGTAAGACTGTGGTCAGGTCAACAAACAGGACAGGCTGGTATGGACAGCGTAGTTTCCCCATTCAGTCAAAAACTACCATTAAACACTAGAAAAAGACCAAAATCACCAGCTTGGTCAAAATCACTCATGACTCGAGATGGATTTGAGACTGTGACATGAAGATGAATCACTTAGTACCTCATCCTCATGCCTTGCAGGCATCCAGGCAACACAAGATAAAAATTTGATTGGTTCAACTCAGTGAAAATCTCATTAGTGTATACAGAGCCACAGTAACTTCTGCATATATTTTTGTAGCTCAGAAGTTGTTTCCTTGTCTCCTTATATCCAGGCAGAACAGAGAGCTGGTTGTGCATCTTGATATGCACCTTCAGAAAAATTAAAGAGTCAGACTTAAAGTCACTGGAGGATGAAGAGAAGGAGACAGAACACTATGCAGGTACATCTCCTGTGTGCAGCCTATTCACAATACATCCCCTCTAAGTCCAGACTCTCTCAGTGGCGATGCTTCTCCTCTACTCAGCACTGGTGAGGCCACGCCTGGAATGCTGTGTCCAGTCTGGGCTCCCTAGTACAAGAGAGACATGAATATACTGGAAGGGCCACAAAGATGATGGATTCTCACCTATGAAGAAATGCTGAAAGAGCTGGGACTGTTCAGCCTAGAGAACAGAAGGCTCGAGGGAACTTATCATTGTATATAAATACCTAAAGGGAGGGTGCAAAGGGGACAGAGGCAAGCTCCTCTCAGCAGTGCCCAGTGACAGGACCAGAGGCAATGGGCACCAACTGGAATACATGAAGTTCCCTCTGAACAACAGGAAACACTTTTTCACTGTAAGCGTGATGGAGCACTGACAGAGGTTGCCCAGGGAGGCTGTGGAAATTCCATCTTTGGAGATACTCAAAAGATGCCCAGACACAGTCTTGGCCAACCAGCTCTAGGTAGCCCTGCCTGATCAGGGGGGTTGGACCTGAAGGCTTCCAGCAGTCTGTTTCAGCTTCAACCATTCTGTAATTCTGTGATTCATTTCAGTTGCATATACATTTTCTGTTTTTATGTAAGTGGAGTTGCCTGGCACAGATGAGATGCTTCCCCAAGGCAGAGAGCTTTACCAACTAGTTCTCTTTGCTCTAGGCATGTGAAGAACAGTAGGTGGGATATACATAGGAAACGTTTTTTTCCTTCTGAAGTCTCTTTTCAAATACATTCATTAATTTCTAACTGTGCGTGCCATTTTTATACTATAAGTAAAACTTCCAAGTAAAACCTTTCAAGTAAAACCTTTCAGTGTTTTCAGCACAGCTAGAAGTGATCACCATGACTCTCGCCAACATAATTTGACAGTGGTTTATGGCACAAGAGTCTTCACATCACAGTCTATAGTTTCATACAGATTTGCAGATATATGCTTTACTACAAACAGTACTTGTACTGGTTTTGGCCAGTAACAAGTCAAACTAGCAATAGGCCAAACTGACACAGTGTGACATAAAACCTACTCTATATAGTGCAGCGTCTCATGAACTCAAACCATTAACAAGGGAGGCCAGGTAGTTACTCTGATAGGAGAATGGAACTGGTCTGGTTTTCATCTGTTTCCTTAATAAATTTAGCATGAAGTTTTCCTTAGATTATTAACTATTTCCTAGGCTTGGAAGGTCTCTACAATAAAAAAATTTCACTCTCCTTTAAAAATTTAATAAAACAATTGCCAATTCATTAATCTATCTTACATCCCATTGCTAGGAAAACATCAGAAGTTATTTAGACTAAAGTTGTGCTGCTTGCCAAGTAAACTAAATACTGCATTTACATGTACCTGTGTGCAACATCTTAAAATTTACTTAAGACAATAAAGGCACTTAATGGGAGTGCTATCCAATAACAGGAACAGCATTATATTTTTCAGTGCAGAAACCTTCACACACATTTGTGCAGTGCCTCACCCCAGGGTTTCCTCCAATTGTTACTGAATCTTCATTTTAAATGAAAAGGTTAAAAATAGCAATGCAATATGAAGTCTGAAATCTCTGTAAGTATATGAATTTTTATGCAGTGTTCCCTTGAGGAAGATGAACTTCTTTACATTTCCCCACTGAATGGGAGTGGAACTTTGGCCTTCAAACTCTTGGATAGCCCAAAATCCACTGAAAACACCTAGGCATCATCCACAATGATTTGAGGAAAAAGGCTAACTTTCAAGTATGGCTTTTGATTTCTGCTCCTTCAGAAACTCGGGTACTGTTTCCTGAAAATCCCTCTTTGAATAAATAAGGAAAAGTAGTGTCAAATAAAGTTGGATATTTAGTTCCTCAGTTCTGAATAAGATAGTTTAGAAGATATCCACTTTGGCTCTTCACAGCTCCCATGATGCACTCAACTTCCTTGCATATTAGGAAACAGAGAACCAAGATGATCTGTTACAAAATTATTCATTATTACTTCTCTCCATAAATCTGTGCTGACCCAGTTACCTTCTTGTCTCAAATGAGCCTGTAGAAAACATGAGGATATAAAGGTGCTTCACTATAAATTTTATTGTGTGGATGTTGCAAACTTTAAAAATTCACATCGCTTTTTTGGTCTCTAACATGCTGAATACAATTAGTGAATACACACATCTCAATGGAAACAGTACTTACTCTACGAGTTACAGTGGGGTCCCGTTGAGCTTTGGATATCAAGTGTCCAAGAAGAGTATTAGTTCTGAGAAAATGAAGGCGGATGTTTGTTGCTTTTGTGAATTCTCGAAGACTAGGGGAATAAGTGAAGTTTTTTGCTCCAGGGCGGCCGTTTACCAAAGATACTACAATCTAACAAAGAAGTAAGCACACTTTTGTTAAAATATATCAACTGTAAGTGTCAATAGTGGCACAGAGCAAGATTAATAAAAGAATCCAAAAACTTACTATTGTTTCTGAACATATGCGCAGTAACAACTGGGCATTTCATATGGAAGCCAGGATATTGGGAAAAATAGTGCGGTGAGTCTTGGACCCTCCTGAATTCTTATTACCCATATGGCACATCAGGGGGAAAAAAAAAGTGCCTCTGTTTTGAAAACAGTAGGTACAACACACAAAAAAGTACATGTTTTAATAGGAGAAAAACAATAGGTTAAGTTGCAGATAGTTATTTTAACAGTTGACAGTGTCAATGGGAGTTTAGCCCGAATGAAAACATCAGGTTTTGGCTCTTTCCCAAAGCACATTTATTTTTGGGCTAAGGCACAAACATTCCTGGAAAATATTATTGTTACCAGGTCCAGTGCCTGCAAGCATATTAATGGTCTTTTGGAAGAAAGTACACAGTGTTGCTTTAGAAAATCCCCTCACATGAAAGCAGGTTTATCTGACTTCCAAAACAAGGGCTCCAATACATCTTTTTGTTTTGTAAAGAAACAGCTGCCAGCAGCCTAGCAATCATGAACCTCTATTAAATGAACAATCCAGTATGTATCTACAGGGCTTAGTAAAAGCTTTCATTTATTTATAACCATCTAGATAACAGGTTTCTATTCTTAAACGGCTCCTACACTCTGGAGCATGTAACTAGGGAATGATGACAGTTCCGATTGCAGCACAATTCCTTCAGGAAAAGTCATATGGCATGTAATAGGGGCTGGCACCAGCAGTGTTCTGTGGAAATTGTTTACAATATTTTATTAGGAATATTTTACAGACATGTTAATAAACAAATTCTATTTTAAAATGAAACCCCAGAATCATATGCTCAAATCTCTGGATAACTCCTGAGGAGTTCAGATCTGGATTCTAACCACATCAAGCATAAAAGAGTATCAGGAGGAGCCATCAGCACAGCCAGGAGTTTAACATTTGTTCAAGTAACACAAGCCACAGTTCTGTCTAGTAAGGAACAATGGCCAAAATCAGAGCAACATTTTCCAAACACATGTATTATATTATAAACTTGTAGCAGTTTTATACATTCTGTTTTTAAACAGCTATGTATTCTTCAATGGTGGATACCTGTTTCTACAGCCTTTAACACCATGAGCAATTCTAGTGCACTAAGTTCTGCCACATACAATGGAATTGTTCAGAAAATGCACTCAAGACCTTCAGATGCAAATGGCTATAGAGAGGTACTTAAATTATGATCAATAATTGCTCTGAGCAGACCCTACCTCCATAAGGAATGATGACAGTTAGGAGGAGTCAGGTGACCCTCCCAAAATCTCACCTTGGTTATAGACTTAATCATGTAGACTCAAGCAGTCACAGCTGAAAACTTACATCCAGTTCAAGGTTTGCATTGAACCAGCAAACTTCAGAAGCCAATGCTGTTTGCTTGCAGCATGACACATTACTTTCCTAAAAGCACTTACCTCTCCATTTTCAAGAGGCAGAATGCGAGAGTACTCTGTGGTGCAAAGGATATCACTGTCCCTCCTCACTGGAAGATTAGCTTCCTTTCCAAAGCGTTCCAAGCAATCTGCTTTGGAGTCTAGTTAAGCAAGAACAAAATTAATTTTATATGAGAAAACAAGCATTATTGTTCAAATTTACATGACCTGAGTGAGAAACATCCCCCGTGCTTTCAGGTAAATTCTCCTCCATAATAGAGTAAAACCATTGTGCATCTCAGCACAAAAAAATAGAAATTCCTAAAACCAATCATTTCTCCTCCTAAGCAATTCAGAGGTGCCTGACAGGACATGACACAGTATTTCTCATATAAAAAAAAAAAAAAAGCTATATATGTACTCCAAGACTTTGCATTTTTGCAAGAAACTCCAGGGTCCCATGGGATGAAGGACACTGCAGTTCTGACATAACTAAAACCCAAGATAAACAATACAAAACAAAACAAAACAAAAATTTCCAAGAGAGAGAAAAATATTCATTTGCAGAGTTACACTTTCAAAATATCACACTCATACACTCTTGTCACTAGTTTATTGTGGCTAAGACAAGAGAAATGTATTTATCATTCACTGTCTTCACTGTAGTTGAAATCTTTAGCGAGCCCCATGGTTTGATTTTGCTGCTACTGAGCAAGTGATTAAAGCAACCTGTCCACAAAAGAGCAGTGACACAAGGATTAATACTTACGAGCAAAATACTGCCAGGGAGTGTAAGTTCTTCCAAAGTCCACTGATCTTTCTAAGATCCAGAGATCTGGCCGAGGAGAGTTTGCAAACTTGATAAGGATATAGGCAACATGGAAGAGCTGGTAACAGAATATACACAGATCTTGTCAGGACCTTTTTTGAACTCTATAAAAGTACCACAATAATAGAATTAATGCAAATAAGCACCTTTTCTTTAGTGTACAGGGAGAAAGTTATTCTTTGCAGTTTCATTCCCATTAAAGTAAGAGGCCAGATTCTTTGGCTATCTCACCTAGCAATGTGCTCAAGTACATTTAGACATCTGCAACAGGACTATGTTAAACGTTAAATTTCAGAACAACTCTATTGCACACATGACTGATTGCTTGAGTGTGTTGAGGGTATAATAACCTTGTCTCAACACTGCGTTGAACTAAGATACTTTTGCACCATCCTGGTACATCTCTGATGCATTCCAATCACGTAATTGTGCTTGTAGTCAAGAAATACCAAAATGATGTAAGAGAAAACGCACACAGCCTTTACACTGGGACTCCTTTGGTTATGTTTGATAGTAATCTCAGACACCTGCTCCCTTATTTTAAGAATATTTCTAGATAATTTTGCCACTTGACAGATCTTCCAAGTAGCAGAAGCAAGCCCACCCCAGAGTTTTCTGAGTATCAAATAACACAGGAGAGATTCTTATAACTAGTAGCTCATTTGTTGTCTGAAACAGCTCAGAGAGCTTCATCAGTTCAAGGGTACCAAGGCCAAGAGTCCCGTTTGGCTTCCTTAGGTGCTCATTGTATATCGCAGCAATAGACCATAGAGACAGAAAGCTCCCAAACACTACAGCAAAAAATGATTTGACAAGAAAGCAAATCTTATTGTAAGCCTTTTGGGATAGTCCACAATCAGAAAAACCAGAAACATCAGTAAAATTACCTCACCACAAAAGGCTGAACACAGATTGATTCTAAAGGTCATTTCACCTTTAAACAACCACAACATGGATAGGAACTGCCAATAAAAGTAATCCAATATGAAAGTACAGTCAATATTCAAGTGAAGCTGCAGCAGAATTTCCCACTCAACAACCTCAATTGAGAATCTGCTGGCAAAAGATTCTTACTTTGGTGGAGGAGGCAGGGAGTTACAGTCAAATGTCTGTCAAGTAACTGCTGCCAGATCCCTCACATCAAGTACACCCATGCAGTTTATCTTTGCTCACAAATGTCATAACCCTGAAGCTAATACTTTGCAAAGGTTATTAAACTGCAAACCACAAGTGTGTACAAGCTCTCAACCACAAACTTGGAACAGCATCTTTTGACACCCCTGGCTCATTCAGCTGTCAGCTAGGAACAATTCAATAGCTGTCACACCAACTGGGGCCACCAAAAGCCAGCTGCAAATGGTGAACAACACAGTGGAGCAGATACCTGGAAACATTTGACCCTAACCAGTATTGCAAATGATGATTCCATGGCTACACACACATTGCCATCGTACAGCTACATGCAACCTCCACACATCTATCTCAGACATCAGCATGTGAATATCAAAAGTATTCACAGAAGAAAGTAAAACCTTCTCATGGAGAAATGGGAAGAATTCAAGGACTTCAAGGAACATGCTCTCATGATAATACTCCACAACCCAGAAGAAAAAACAAATGAAAACTTTTTGTTGTGCATTCATTTAATACAGTATGTACAACAACTATCCATGGCAACACTGTTTTACATGCACCAAGGCATTTCTGGAACAGGCATCATACGTTGAAACCTATTTCAGAAACTGCTGTTTGCTGAATGTTGCTAGCCTACGTCAGTGGAGAGAGAACTGGGGCGGGGGTGGGAACCCCAACTTCTCTGTTAGTGTTGAAATTTACCCTGCCTACTTAACACAGCCTGACAAGCACCAACCACCTCCTGAGATACTGAATTAGGTACCTAAACACGCAGACAGTATCTACAGACGAACAATGACTCACTAGATAACAGGGTTAAGCAAAGTAACTGTCAGCCATTCTGTTGACAGAGTCATGACAGAACCGAAAACTATGCACAATGACTGCATAGATGGAGTAATGCCCTTGAATTACTGATGGAAAGACTCTATGCTGATTGCTAGAAATAGGTTAATACTTTGGTAACTGTGGCAAGATTTCCTCTTAACGAGTTTCTGATACTCTTACTCAGAACTTCTGCTACTCAGTCGGCAATTTTCAGAGTAGGGATATTTGCCATACAGATATTACATATCATCCAGTATGGCCATTCAGTGCAAAGACTGGTATCCTTCCAGGAAAATATAATAGTTCTGAAATTTCTCCAAAGAAAAGAGGAATGTTTCATGTTCTTGCTCTTGGGCAGCCGAATCTCACAAGGGGAATTTATGTGCTCAAACTAGGTTTGCACTGCACAGGAAAAAGACTTTCTTCCCTATGTTTTAAGGTCTCTGGGAGTCCCATCCTTACAAGCATGTTAACAAGTGTGGATAACATTTTGTGCGTTGACTAACATAGATTTAATCAAGACAAGTGGTTTAGAGAGCTCAAGAGGAATCACAGGAAGCATATAGATAAGGTCCTGGCTTCTCCAGGGCTCCATTGCTTGGAGTCACATTGTGGAATCATTACAACAATGACCTTCTACCTACTCACCAACAACCAGATGACATCTGTTTCAGCTTGTCATACATACTGTTTTACTCAGATGCTCCTCGAAGCGCTGACACAGCCATTCTCATCTCATCTTCCACAACAAATGATACCTTGTCACAAATGTGAGCAACATAGTAGCAGTGAATTCCATTTCCACAGTGCTTCTGCACTGCTGAAGAAATATGAGACAAGCTCATTTACACACCAGTGTCACCCTGGCCAAAACCAAGGCACACAACAGTTACACAGCTGAATCAGCATGTGGCACCTGTCAAACACCTGTATGACACATCTGCTATGAAACTGTGGAATTTGCTTAAGCCTATGACTACTCAATGTATGTGAACTTGAAATACTGTCCAATGGGTGTATTATACCAGGAGCTCTGCAAGTCTGTCCCAGCAGTACACTTTGCATACTTCCATGCAAGCCACAAAATCGAAGCAAAAAAGTATGACAACTTCATGGTACCATTGCATATGTAAACCTTCAATTCACATGCAACTCTCCTTACATCTCACAGGTTGAAATACTGCTCAAGTTTGTACAGACACATTCAGAGAGGAGAAAGGGATGAGTCTCAATAAAAATTAAATTAGTGTTAGTTAATGCCAATATTTCATCAAAACGTAATCATCAGCCTTATCATCTGTGCCAATGATTTGGTTTTGACCTGGATCAAGGATGCAGAATAGCACCTGAAAATTCAAATTTCTGCTGCGATTAAATACTGACCAAGTTGATGAATGATCTCTCTCCAGATATGATGAGGCAACAACAGAAGAAAAATAATCCTTGGCTTAGCAAGTAAATCCTAGTTAAAGCTAAAAGAGTAACCTTGCTGATGTAAAACCTAGAAAACCAACTATTAAAGTCAATTTTAATCACATATTCTAAGCTGGCATTTCACTAATTTAAATCTTGGTCCCTACCTAATACCTACCCTGCAAAACAGGCAGATAAAACTCAAAGCAATGTGTTTCTTCAGCCATTCACTTTTGAGCAAAAAAGAGAGTGAGTGTCTTAATTTTGGGGGAAAAAAAAGTTTATTTGGTTGCTTTTAAGCTGAATTTTTTCTATAAAAAAAAACCCATTTGTCTTTCAGAAGGAGTATTAAAACTTCAAGCATTAAAAATAACTGGTTTGATGCAATTATATAACAAAAAAAAATTGCAAAAAAAAGGCTGAATTATGGCTTAATCAAAATTCTGACCATTTTATTGTATGAATTAAGACCTAACTTTAAAAGTAGAACCAGCATTTTGTTTCCAATAATGAAAACAAACCACTCTGGAAACACATGCTTGAAAGAGGATGTATTACTGCAACCATCAAACATCATATCCTGCTGTAATCTAGCAGCATGGGTCAAACCTGATGGATTGTCAGCAGCTGGAGTTTAATCAGTTCCATATTGATGTGACTTCCTCCTGTTCACTCAGGTTTGTTCAGATTTGAAATGTTCTTGTGGGCAGTGACCTTGAACATTCACAAAAACCCAGATAAAGTTTAGTTTTTTAAAATCATCCAGTAGAATGAGCAAAATGTCCTCTAAGAAATAAAATGAAACTTCAGCGATACATATTACCATTATCACATTATAAAGACAGAGAGATTTCTATAGAGGCTCTTACATGTGATTTAAGGTGGGATTGAAAGAGTTCATTTAAATCAATTGAGAGTTGTGCTGTACCATTATTGCTAATGATACAATATTCATGATGTCTCTCAGCAATGCACACTACCTATTTTAACCCAACAGAAACAAAGCTTCCTGTTACCCAATGCATTCTCACAAGAATTCTAAAAATCACCGCTAGATTAATTTAAAATATTTTCTCTATTTTCTCCTTAAAAGTTTAAACAACTCTTTATAGAGAGGAATTTCCAAGATTTGTTTGAATCTGCAAAAACGTAAGGGAAGAAAGTTAGATGTGCATATATAAAGGTATAGCACATTTTCCTCCATTTCTACCACCATAAACTCTAAACAGAATCAGTTAAGTGCTAGACATAGACTAGCACAAAAAAAAAGCACACTGTTCAGAACAATCAAGATGCTGTGTGCAGCACCTGCAGGGAAAAGGTTGTTCTTCCCTTGTTGATCATGAAGAATAGAAAGTCCTGGAATACAGTAGCAACAAGAGCCCAGCTAAAGCCAGGTACACCATTTAACTGAGCCATTCTATAGGTCTCAAGATGTGTTCCAAAGGATACCACAATATTTCATGTAATCTGAACTGTAGAAGTATGGGGAACAGCTGTTTCCAGCAGGATGGAATTTCCTCAGACTGCATTAGCAGATACATCTACACCACCAAAACTTCCATCATCATAGTAAGACTGTTCTTCTAGGCTTCTGGCATTATCTTGAATAATGTGGCTCATGCAGGGGTGGGATTTATGGAAGAGTGAACTGTGCTTGGCATCCGCTCCAGAACATACCTT